TAGACTCATGGTTTTTGTTCAGTGTACATATATAGATGGACTGGTATGGAAATAAATATAAATGTGTTTTATGGGTGGGTTAGTTTACATGCACACACATATATTTCCTAGCTCTGTTCACCAAAAAGTCTAGAAGTAGTGATACCCACATAGTGATGAGTACACAACCTCCCAGATCTAGGTTTCCAAATACAATTCTCCTTGGAAAAATAATTTCTTCTGTTTTTTGTTTTTTGTTTGTTTGTTTGTTTGTTTTGAGACAGAGTCTCACTCTCGCCCAGGCTGGAGTGCAGTGGAGAGATCTCTGCTCATTACAACCTTCGCCTCCCAGGTTCAAGTGATTCTTGTGTCTCAGCCTCCTGAGTAGCTGGGACTACAGGCACATGCCACCACACCTAGCTAAGATAGGGTTTCACCATGTTGGCCAGGCTGGTCTCGAACTCCTGACTTCAGGTGATCCTCCCGCCTCAGCCTCCCAAAGTGCTGGGATTACAGGCATGCACCACTGTGCTCGCCCAGAAAAGTAATTTCTGTGACTCCAGAGAGTAAGGAAGTGCTTAAAAAAAGGGGGAGGAGGATGTCAAAAAAAGGAGGAGGAGTAAGGAAGTGCTCAAAAAAAGGAGGGCACAGGAACCCACCTGAATGAACTCCCAATGGCCAAAGTTGGAAATTGAACAGTAAAATAAATGATAGTATTGTATTGTAACCCAAGGAATAAAATAAACCTGAGTCCCTATAGATACAAACAACTGAATAAACAAGTGGTAGAGAGGGGCAACTCCTGTAGAAAAACTCCAGTCGATAAATGTAGAAGGATTGCGAATACAGAAAATCACCAGGAGAACACCATAGTTATTGTTGAGGCATGATCCACTGATAGATGCTAATATTAGTGGGCAAAAATTTGAGCAGAAAGAGGACATTTGCAGAGTCTTAAAGTATCTAAGTCTGTATTCTGTATAAAAGGAAAAATAGCAACTTTACTGTAGCAAAAACTGGCAGATACCTCCTTGACCAAGTGATCAGTATAATACATCTTGACATCATGTACTGCTGACACACACCAAGAAGGGTACATCAACTATGTGGCACCCTTCCCAATAACCATGACAAAAACATCAGCCAGACCAAAACTGGGGACATTCTAAATATCTGACCAGTATTTCTTGAAAGTGTCAAGGTCATGAAAGACAAAAGAGAGACTAAGGAAATGTCACAGTTTGGAGGAGATCAACAGAGCCACAATAACGAATGTAATATGGCGTCCTGGCACCAAAAGAGGACATTAATGAGAAAACTAGTAAAATACAAATATAGTCTATAGTTTAATTAATAGCATTGTACTGATATTAACTTAGTTTTGATCATTTTTTATGGTTATATAGATGTTAACATAAAGTGAAGCTGAGTGAAGAATAAATGGGACCTCTCTGTTATGTTTGTAATTCTGTTATCTAAAATTATTTCAAAATAAAAAGATTAATTTTAAAAATGTGACTGGAGCCGGGCATGGTGGCTCACACCTATAACCCCAGCATTTTGGGAGGCCGAGGCGGGCAGATCACCTGAGGTCGGGAATTCAAGACCAGCCTGACCAACATGGAGAAACCCCAACTCTGCTAAAAATACAAAATTAGCCGGATATGGTGGCACATGTCTGTAATCCCAGCTACTCAGGAGGCTGAGGCAGGAGAATCGCTTGAACCCGGGAGGCAGAGGTTGCAGTGAGCCAAGATGATGCCATTGCACTCCTGCATGGGCAACAAAGCAAAAGTCCGTCTCAAAAAAAAAATTTTTTTTTTTAGTGTGGCTGGGCATGGTGGCTCATGCCTGTAATCCTAGCACTTTGGAAGATCGAGGCTGGCGGATCACTTGAGGTCAAGAGTTTGAGACCAGCCTGGCCAATATGGTGAAACCCTGTCTCTACTAAAAATATGAAAAATTAGCCAGGCATGATGGTGCACACCTATAAATCCAGCTACTTGGGAGGCTGAGGCAGGAGAATTGCTTGAACCCAGGAGGCGGAGGTTGCAGTGAGCCGAGATCGTGCCACTGCACTCCAGCACAGGCAATAGACAGAGCATGACTCCATCTCAAAAAAAAAAAAAAAAAAAACAGATACCCTTGGTCGGCGCAGTGGCTCACACCTATAATCCCAACATTTTGGGTGGCCAAGGTGGGTGGATCATTTGTGGTCAGGAGTTTGAGACCAGCCTGGCCAACATGGTGAAACTCCCATCTCTACTAAAAATACAAAATTAACTGGATGTGGTGGCTCATGCCTGTACTCCCAGCTACTCAGGAGGCTGAGGCAGGAGAATCGCTTGAACCAGGGGGTGGAGGTTGCAGTGAGCTGAGATCGCTCCACTGCACTCCAGCCTGGGCGACAGAGCAAGTACCACCTAAAAAAAAAAGAAACCCCTTTAATAATACAGAAGTTTTGAGAAAAAATAATAATAATCACAGAAATTTTGAAAAATAATAAGTTATAAAAAGAAGTTACAGGTATTACATTTCAGGGTTTTTAAAAGATACACATTTTTTTAAATTATGGTCCTTAAATGTTTTTATTTTTTCCAGAAATAACTATTATGCAAAGAATATTGCTGTCCACCATTCTAAAGAAAATCTCTGATGATGTCACTCTCCTGTTCAAAACTCTTCAATGTCTCCCTATTGCCTTTTAATTGCATTCGGATCTCTCCCTGAAGCTGCTCTGGCCCTGGTGGCCTCCCGCTCCGCTACTCCTCTTCACAGCCTGCACTCCTACCTGGAGATCTGCTGCCTTCCTTAATCCTGACCTCCTGGAAATGCCTTTTCCCCAGACTCTACTTGTCCAGAGCCCAAGAAAGTTCACCAGTGTGAAGAAACCTCACCCTCCCTGAACTCCCAGCACATTTCCCCAAAGACCCTTCTCATTTTCCCTGCTGCTGTTAGACCCAGGCTGATGGTGCCTCTGTCCAGTGACTTAGTTGGAGCACCTACCTCTAGATTTTCTCACTCACCCTTCAGTACCTGAGACCAGATGGTGCCCTCCAAGTAGAGCACCCAGAGCCCTAGACCAGGACACACATGCCCTCTGATCCCTCTTTCTCCCAGTTAATGCTTCCTTATCCTCTGCAATAGTGTGGGTCAGCCAGATGCCCTGAGGATCACTGGTGGACTCATGTCTACCTGATCATCCTAGGAACTGATCATACCCCTGGCCTGTTTGGTATTTCTTTAGAAGGACCACATGAGATTAGGCCACCAGAATGGTGCTGACATGCTGACTTAGGGTGACTCAAATTGTTTATATGAGCAAGAACTCTGCCAAAAGTATTTGCCCAGGACCCTCACCCTAGTGTGGCCTTGTCAATTTCTATCATGCATTGCACATGCCTTAAAACGGTCCTGTCTTCATCATGTCTGCATCCCTTCCCCACAGTGGTGCCTATTTTAGCGCCCGTGCATAATAGAGACTCAATAAGTATTTCTCAGCGTGAATGCTCGAAGGAATAAGTAACATCTCAGGCATACATATTTATTTTGATCCACGGTTCTAATCATGTTTTCCTTGCACAAATTTCTAGATCTTCCTCATTCTGAGTAGCAAAAAAAAAAAAAAAAAAGGAAAGAAAAAGGAATTTTCACATCCTCAAGCCCTCCAGTCACTGACCTGACCGTTGATGTCCTGAAAACTTATCAAGAAAGAACAAATGCGCCTCCAGATTCTCCTGACACCAAACTGCAACTGGACTTCAACTCCAACACACGTGAGAATGGCCGAGTGTGGGAATGCTGGTTGAACGGTCTCAAGGTAGGCAGCCCCGTAGTTTGGATTTAACAATGCTTTGGCTGCAACAAACTATAGTGATAGGACATATGTTCATTGCGCTTTGCTTTTGATCTTCAGCTTCAAGGTTGAGATGCTCTCCCATGGGAAAAAGAAAAAAGGAAGAAGAGCTGGGCAGAAGAAAACCGACTTCACCCACCACTGAAATACTTCCTACCTGAAGCACAGCTCTCTTGCGAGAAGAACATGATGGCGGCTCTTCACAGTCCCCTAATTAAGAGGCTTGGGTTGGGTCCTGACTTAGAGGGAAATACAACACCACTGAGAGGCCCCCCGCACAGCACCTAAGCACTCACAGCCAAGCCTGGGCTTGGCCCCAGTGGACATATGAGAACAGGTGCCTGCCAGAAGGCGGGAGGCCTGCTGTTGCCAGGTCCACCATGTGAATCACAATGACTGCATGAGGTCACGGAATGTTGAAGATGAAATGAAAGTGGCTCCTGAGTCACAAAGTCACAGGGGGGTGGGCATCCTTTTGACAGGGCTCCCAGCAATAGAGCAGTCCCACTCTCCCGGATGAGCTGGAGAAGTAGCTACCTCTCCCAGACAGAGTTGGGGTCAAATTCGTGCACATCCAATTTCCATCAAAGCCCACTCTTCCCAGGGCTTGCTGGGAGGGAAGGATAACTGCAGGCTCCCCTGGGATGCCCCCTCATGAGAGAAGTTCACAAAGTTTGAGACAGAGGCGAATGGACAGGTGTGCTTCTTAGGGAAGCAGTCAAGAGGTGGCAAGAAGTTGGCAGCTGCCCTCAAGAGGGTCCTGGCACCATGGACAATGACAAGCCTCTTCAGCCTGAGACAGAAGGTGAAAGGGCATCCCATCTCTCACCACTCAGGCCCATCCCCACTGCCTCAATACAACACCTAGTGATCACAGGACCCTGAAGCCCACTTCTTTCCTCACCTGGGACCCTCTAGAAGTGGGATGATGTGTTATACTGACTTGGGTTCAGGGCTTGGCAAACAGGAAGAGTTGGCTACAGTGCTATGCTAGAACTATGTCATACTGGCTCCAGTCAGCTTTAATTTGTATTGTGTGGGCTGGTTGATACCATATTTATAGTTTGAAATCAGCCACATTGGGAATATTTACACCACATGAATTGGCTAACACTATAAATCAGGATATTTTTGGTGTTTTTTTTTTTTTTTTTTTTTTTTTTTCCTGGAGAATCAATTGTTAAATATTTACCAGCATCCTACTGGTTGTATGGAATTCTAAATTGGAAATTTAAGGAAATTAAGACTTAGAAATTCATCACTTTTCTAAGGCACTCAGCAGTTTGGCAGCCAAGCTGCTGTCGTCTTCTAACTACCAGGCTACTGCTACCTGCACTGTGTATCCCAGATAGGCTGGGAGATAAATGTTGGAACCTGGGTCTATGGACAAGGATTAAGAAAGAACATGGACTCATTAGGAACCCCACCATCCTAGAATCTGGGTGGTCAAAACTTGTGACCCCTGCCACAAACACTCAGCCCACCCAATGAGTGGGTTGGCTAAATTCTGACAGGTCATTCAGAGGCATAGTGTGGCTTCTTGAAACTGCTGAGTCCTGCTGATGCCCGAGGATTGAGCTCTGGATTTTATGTGTGGCTTCCACAAGCCTATGGCTGATCCCAGGTCAATGGCCCAGAGGTGGTAAAACCACATCTAGCAAGTGTAGAGGACTGGTGTGAGGGAAGCTCTGTTCCCAGTAATATGATTAATTCATCACTATGAATTAATCATAGTCATTCATTTCAACCCAAGGGAGATTTTCAAGCCCCTCCTTCTTCCTGATCACAAATCAATGTTAGATTGGAAGGAAGAGAAGGTAAGTCAAATTCTTACCCATGCCTGGGTATCGGGACTGGCTGAGCTGAAACAAAGACTCTGTTAATGCAAACAACACCTTCACCCTCTCTCTCCTCCCAGTTTCCCCAAGAAGGGAAGCATCAAAAGGAACACTTGTGAAGCAAGGGGAGAATGACACTGGTTCCATCTGACAGGGCCAGCTCAAACTTCCCAGGCCAAGGCTAACCCAGTCACCCTTCCTTCTCTTGCTCTCTGGAACTGCTCCTGGTCCATTTTATTTTCTATTTGACCTAAGTTGCCACCTGACCTGGCCTGCCCTGCCTCTTATACTCCCTGGCACCATTTGTGCCTGACAATAAGGAAGCCTATGTATCGGGACCCAACCTTTCACCTGAAAGAGTGCCAGCACACCTCAAAACCCACCCAGACACGTAAGAAGGGGAAAGTGTGAGCAAGGAGCTGATCTCCAAGGCAGGCCTCAGACAGGGAAGCGGGCAGGAGCAACCAGTCTCCAGGGAGCAGAAGGGAGTTGGTTTCACAAGCCCCCATGGACCCAGCAGTCAGAGGCAGCGCTATTGGGGAAGGCAGGTTTGTAGAGTGGACTTGCCCTGGCAGGGCTGGGGAACCTTGAGGACCTGGGACTCAGAGGAAGGGAGCAGAGACAGAGGGGCGGTAGCGGCAGGCTTTACTGGAGAGGCCAGCAGGTTTTATTCCTGGCATCAAGGAGATGAGTTTTTTTCTTCCAGATGAGACTGAAACTGAGCTAGTACCACAGAGCAGCGATAAAACGCTCTACTGTGAGGCCGAACCCCCGCCAACTGTAGAAAAAGTGAAACCAGCCCAGGAGAATTCGGAAACAGACCTGGAGATTGAAGGTGAGCATGGGCATTTGGGGGCGGTCAGGGCAGCTTCTCAGAAGCTGGAGAAATCTGGTTTCCAGGAGCTGTCATCTCACTCCTTTCCAGAGTCTGCCCCACGGACGGCCTGTGGAGGAAATGTGACAGAAAGGCCTGTGCTCGATTTTGCCTGGAGTCCTCCTCCAAGCTGGCCGGGGACAGCAGCTTCAGCTTCCCACACTTGTCACCTGCCTCAGGAGCAGTACCCTCACATCAGCTTGTTAAAAGCTGAATCAATACACAAACAGGGTTTTCTGATCTAAATATTTCCACGTGGGGCATCCTATGCAATCTTTGCAATAGTCCTAGAAGGTAGACATCATTGCCCATTTTTAACAGAAGAAGAACTGGGCCTTAAAGAGATCATAGGCATTGCCCAGGGACAATGGGAGTTTGCCCAGCATATTGGCTGATCCTGTGTTTGACTCACTCTGATGGTCCTGCCTTCTGTATTCCATATTCCAGGCCCCTGGAGTGTTTCTGTGGCCTATCTTGCATCCCAGTGACTTTCCCACACTCACCTTAGAGCTCTGGTTTCCCCTACTTTTCTTGATAAATCTAAGCATGCCTGGGTATCGGGACTGGCTGAGTTGAAACAAAGACTCTGTTAATGCAAACAACACCTCCACCCTCTCTCTCCTCCCAGTTTCCCCAAGAAGGGAAACATCAAAAGAGAACACTTGTGAAGCAAGGGGAGAATGACACTGGTTCCATCTGACAGGGCCAGCCTCAAACTTCCCAGGCCAAGGCTAGTCCAGTCACCCTTCCTCTCCTGTGGCCTTGCAGCTGGCTGGTGGGCAGTGATTCACAGGCAGCAGAGATGGAGGAAGGCCAATTCTGCCAAATTAAACTGTGAAGTTCATCTGCATCGAGTCAGTTTATAAACCTCTCCACCATGGTCAACATACAACATACATCTTCACCCTTCCACGCAGACCTCCTCCCCACTGTCCCCTAGGCAGCTTGTTGCTCTTTTTCTGGCTTCTGGTCCACTTCAAGTCTGTTGCTGACGTTGCTTCCAACACCCAACTTCATTCACCTGGTTGGAGAAGGTAGCAAAGGACAACACTGGATGTTTGGCCAAAGGGTCCTATTTCTATCTCATTCCCCTACCTCTTCCCCTGACTGTGCAGCAAGTGCTAACACTGTCTCTAGCTGCCCATAAAACATAACAATAGGGAACACAGCTAGAAAGGGTCAGCATCAAATCCAGCAGAATTAGTCCCAGGGACAAAACTGGGGGTTACCTTCCCTGCTTTGGCCAACAGGAACCTCTAATGGCTGAATTTGGCACCAAAAACTCTGTCCTGAAGGGAAACTCGGGGCTCAGCAGCCCTGGTTCCTGGTGCCCCTGCTGTGGTTGCTGAGACACTGGGAATGAGCAGGGAGGGCACGGGAAATGGGCCAGCTGGGAGCAGTGCTGGCTGTGAGTCTAGAGAAGAGGGGGAGACGAGCCTGGTTTGCTCACATGCCATGAGCTGTTTTTCTCCACAACAGTGGTTCCCACCTGGAAGCAATTTTGCACCAAGGGGACATTGGGCAAACTAGGGGTAGGGGGTTGCTACTGGCATCTTGTGGTTCCATGCCAGGGATGCTACTAAACACCCTACTATGTACAGGACAGCCCTCAGAACAGAATTATCCACCCCAAAATACCTGCAGTGCTGAGGTTGAGAAGCGCTGCTGTACAAGCATCCCAAAAAGAAATCTACTTTGTAGTTGTGCTTGCAAAATCAGCTTCCCTGTAAAGCACTTGTCCTTTTACCAACAAAGTTCCCATTGTCAGCCTTAGATTGTTTGGGCGGGGAGGGGGTTGGCCAAAGGCCCTGGGATCTGAAGGAAAAACAGATGCAGACGTAGAGGCCAGCTGGCTCCAGGAAGCCCTGGCATAGGCTGGACTTGCCTAATGAGGACACAGCTGTGGGGCACCCAGAATCCAGGGAGACCTGATGCCCAGTGACCACGGGCCAGGCTGGCCTAAAGCCTAAGGAATAAACGCCCCCAGGGGTTAGAATGGAAAGGTGCAGTCCCTACTTCTGCTAGCTGGTTTTAGCACTGAACAACTGTGTGTTATTTGAGGCTAGGTTTGTCGTCGATAAAGCAAGGATGACAGTCCTTTTTATAAGGAAAATGACATGCAAACTTTTGAAAGAAGAAAGACCATTCACATGCAAGCCTGCTTGTTTCTCGCTGATGTGGAAGTCTTTCCATATTCACTGGTTTGCCATTTTGAGAGGTCCACCCTGTCCTAGTTGGGCTTTTTAAATGTCAGTGCCTCTATTAGTCTTTGGTGAAGCTTTTTTCATGACTCACAACCTTGTGATAGTGGTGGTGAAATTAAAAGTGAAATGGAGACTCCATCAGCCATCAAAAGTCATCTGCTTTTGGCCTTTCAGAATTGTCCAAAGGTGGGCAAGAGGGCTTGGGCCTTCTATGTCCTTGACCAGTCACTGGATGTGGCCAACCTGGGCAGGTGGGGTGAAGCACATTGCTCACTTCTAGGAAAGCTTCTGGCTTAAAACCATGGGCCTCATCTCCTACCCAAAGGAAAACATTCATCTGGGACTTTCTGGAGTTACAGTCTCCCTCTCCTACCATGGACTGATGTCCCAGACAGGAGCTGGCTTCTTAGCACATACCCACAGGGAGAGATCCTCTGGCAGAGGACAGTCTAGACATGAGTGAATGTGACCTGGGGCTAGAGGGGAGGGAAGGCAAAGGTGGAAGAGAAATCCTACTTCAGCCCATCTTTCTCTGCAGATGAGAAATTTTTCACCACTGGACCAAAGGAGCTGTACCTGGAGGCCTGCAAACTGGTGGGTGTAGTGCCTGTCTCCTACTTCATTCGGAACATGGAGGAGTCCTACGTGAACCTCAACCACCACGGCCTGGGCCCCAGGGGTACCAAGGCTATTGCTATAGCCCTGGTGGTGAGCATGCTAGCGGGGGCTCATGAAACCTCGTGGAGGTGGAGGGTTGGCAGAGTGGTAGGCCCAAGATTCAGAGGGCCCCTCCTATGGAGCCTAAATAGGGACCTTTATGCCCACGCTGCCCTGGGTTCTGCTTGGCTGCCAAATGATTTATTTAGCTCCTGGTAGGAGGCTGCTAGCAACCTGGGCCTTAGAAGTCTATGCTCCTTGCAGAGACTTTGGGGGGAAAAAAATAGAAGTCTATATACTCTTTACTGTTCAGGAAGCAAAGGCACCAGCCCCTGGGGCCAGAAAAGTGACCAGGCCCAATGATCAATGTAAGAGCACCAACAAAATGCCAGCCTGGGTCTCCATTCCAAAGCTCACCTGTGCTATAAATGGGTTTACTACTGACCCATTCCATTCAACGTCTGCCTTGTGCAACATTGTAATTCATAAATACCGTGCTGTAGAATAGATCAAGTTTTCCCACAGAAACAGTGTTCTCTCTCAGCTTGGTATAAAACCAAACAAGGACTTGACCTTGAGTTCATCATGACTTTATATAATTATAACTGACTTACACACAAAACTGACTCCCATCACAGAAAAACAGAAAACCTAACAACTGCATGTCAGCACAACACTGTTTGTTCGCTTAGAAAAGTAAACAGAAAATTCCATTATACAACAGCTCAGTAAGGTAGAGAGGTAGATGTGTCTTTAGAGGTGACATTTAAAATTGGTAATAGTTAAATTATCCATGGAAAGAATTAACAGAGAAAAATAAAGAGTACTTACAGGACCACCAGGTTCATATGCTCACTGTGCAATAAGGACCAATGCACTGAAACAGCAGAGTTTGCAACAAAGAGTTTAATGATCACAGGGTGGCCAAGCAAGGAAATGAAAGGAATGCTTCCATCCGTTTCCCTAAGGAGTTCTGGTCTAGAGTTGTTTGTTTGAGACAAGTTTTCTCTATTGCCCAGTCTGGAATGCAGTGGCATGATCATGGCTCACTGCAGCTTTGACCTCCTGAGCTTAAGTGATCCTCCTGCCTCAGCCTCTTGATTATCTAGGACCACAGGTGTTCACTACTGCACCCAGCTAATTTTTGTATTTTTAGTAGAGAAGGAGGCTTGCTGTGTTGCCCAGGCTGGTCTCAAACTCCTGGGTTCAGGCGATCCACCCACCTCAGCATCCTAAACTGCTGGGATTACAGGCATGAGCCACTGGACCTGGCCTGGCCAACAGTTTTTAAGGGGATCTTGGAGGACAAGGGACTGAAAAATTAGGGTCATTGATTGGTTGGGACAAGGGGAATGAAATCATCAGGAGGTAGCAGCTGCATGCTTTGGTGAGTCAGCTTCTCTTGGGGTCCTTCAGACCAGCTGATGTCAGTATAGTTTCACCAGCATCTCAGATGGAAAACTTAACATTTCACAATGCTTGCGATGTTATCTGTAGAGCAGTGAAAAGGAACTATGATCCTGTGACAGAGTCTATGTGATTCTAGGGCAACAGGCAGCAAAGAACTCTGAGGAAGGGGTCAGAGAGCAGCTGACCTCATGACCAATGCTGTGTGTGCTGCAAGCTGGGCTGATTTCTGTTTCTCCCCTCCCTTCTTCCCTGATCAATTTTATAAAGTTTATAGGGACAGTTTCAGGACTGAGAAAGAATTCTTTAAAAATATTATTTATAAAGGAGCTGAAAGAAGAAAAGGAGTCGGTAAATTCAATAGAGGATGAGTGACTGAGAGACAGGAGAAGCTACAGAATGGTAGAGACAGCCAAAGACAAGCTGCAGGAAGACTGAGTCGGCCAAGTTCAATGATGCAGACATCTGAGAGAGTGATGAATGAGGAAGGCAATTCTGTGTGTCCATATCTATTCAGTTATGAAATACATGGTGAGCTCCAAAAAGCCTGGAAATACACTGTCATTGTTGGTTGCTAGAAGGTACAGTAGTCCACCCTTATCCACAGTTTCACTGTCTACAGTTTCAGTTGTTCTTACAGTACAATAAGGTATTTTGAGAGAGAACAAGAGAGAGAGATGCCACATCCACATCACTTTTTTTTTTTTTTTGAGAGACAGTCTCGCTCTGTCTCCCAGGCTGGAGTGCAGGGTCATGATCTGAGCTCACTGCAACTTCTACCTCCCAGGTTCAAGTGATTCTCTTGCCTCAGCCTCCCGAGTAGGTGGGATTACAGGTGTGCGCCACCACACCTGGCTAATTTTTTGTATTTTTAGTAGAGACAGGGTTTCACTATGTTGGCCAGGCTGGTCTTGAACTTTTGGCCTCAAGTGATCCTCCCTACTTGGCCTCCCAAAGTGCTGGGATTACAGGCATGAGCCACGGTGCCCTAGCAATATTACTTTTATGATAGTATATTATAATAATTGTTCTATTTTATTATTAGTTATTGTTAACATCTTATTGTGTCTAATTTGTGAATTAAACTTTATCATGGGTAAGTATGTATAGGAAAAAAGCATAGTATATTTAGGATTTGGTACTATGTTTGGTTTCAGGCATTTACCAGCAGTCTTGATGTTTTCCCCCAAGGATAGGGGTGGACTACTGTAATCATTGTTAGAATGTAAGTTCCTTGTATGATAAGAGGGATAAGCTTGTGTGCTGCTGTTCATTTTGAGTGCCTAGCCCCCAGTTGGCATTGAACGGTGTATTCCTAGAATACATGGTCTTACTTTTCTTCACTTTCCCCAACACACTCATTCTTTCTGAAAAATATAATGGCATTTGCATTTAGCATATGCACTTTAAGAAGTGACAGGAAATGTGAGATTGCACTGTTTTCCAGGGATGGGAAGAAAGGGGCGGAGAAAGAACAAAGCCGTCTTGAGATTTGTCAACGGTGGAAAGGCTGATTAATGAAGCGTTAGGAATGCACCATTACCTCAGGAGCTTCGGGGGAAAAACATGGACCATAATGACATCCTCTCGGGACTTGGACCACTTGTTTCTTAGTAACGGCAGTTTCTGTTTGGGAGGAGTTTCTTCTTCCCCCATTCTCTGTATCATTCATTTGACAAGTAATCATCGTGACATTCTGGTGGACTGAACTTCTATTTGCTCTTTGTACTGATTAACTTTTCACGTATTTGTGTTTTCCTGGCTTAGATTAGGAGCAGCCTTAGGAGCAGGGATAGTATTTCATCCTTGCGTGTATCCCTTGACGGCCCATTACCGTGCCCTTGTATGTGGGGGCAGCAGGTGGGGTGAGAATGGGAATGTTCTCTGTTAATCCTTGTTTCACCAGCAGTGAACACAGAGAGTGACAAATAGACACTGGCCTGTGTGGAATAAACATGGATGGATTTGGGAACTGGGCCTCCTGCTTCCCCCTAGGATGTGCTGGTCGCCAGTATGAATCTGGCAGTGGTGATTCAACTGATGTTTCCAGACACTGCTAAATAGCACCTAGACTGGGAGGCCCCCTGAGCCATCTCCCTCGCCTTTGAGCACAACTCAAGGCAATTGAATTTTGCCCAGCCCAGAGAGCTGAGACCAGAAGACATTTCAGGAAGCCCCGGGGTGAACCATCCCGCGTTGCAATAGCTTGTACTATCACATTTTCCTTTTCTAGGGGAGAGGGTCGGGGAGGACCAGCATTAACACGCCTTCCACTTGCTACTTCTCTTGCTCCTTAGTGGGACTTGAAAATACTCAAATCCAAACCTGTGTCTTTTCTCTGTACCTGTGTGTATTGGGAACAAGGTGGGGAAGGGAAGATCAAATTTCTGATTAGAGCTAACCCCAGTCCGTCATGCTGCAATGCGAGTCCTTTCCTCTCTCTCCTCTTGCCCCTCATAGAAATGCAGACTAGTGGCGGGGCGCGGTGGCTCATGCCCGTAATCCCACCTCTTTGAGAGGCCAAGGTGGGTGGATCACCTGAGGTCCGGAGTTCAAGACAAGCCTGGCGAACATGGTGAAACCTTGTCTCTACTTAAAAAATACAAAAATTAGCCAAGTGTGGTGGCCTACCAAGTCTGGTAGCTGTAATCCCAGCTACTCAGGAGGCTGAGGCAGGGAGGATTGCTTGAACTTGGGAAGCAGAGGTTGCAGTGAGCCGCGATCGTGCCACTGTACTCCATCCTGGGCGACAGGGAAATTACTCCATTTCAAAAAAAAAAAAAAGAAAGAAATGCGACTAGCTTGGATCTAGATATTCACCAAAGATTTATATGTCCAATTCCTTCCAAACAGACTTGAGGTCACCTCCTATTAAAAAGAGTACCAGAGCCAGGTGTAGTGGCTCACGCCTGTAATGCCAGCTACTTGGGAGGCTAAGGCAGGAGGCTCACTTGATCCCATGGGTTTGAGATCAGCCTGGGCAACATAGACCGCATCTCAAAAAATAATAATTAATAAATAAATATATATGAATTTAAAAGAGTGTACCAGATAAGACTTAAGCCTAAATTAGAAGAAAGGCCTCTGAAGAAAGCAAAATCAATGCTTTAAAGGACCTCCTTGCAAGAATCTTTATGTTTAAATATCCTTATTCAATGTATCAAGTTTTCCTTAATCTTGGAGTAGGTCACAGTTCTTTCTCCTTAGGGCTCAATAGTTAAAATCTGTTTAGCTCATCCTTGTGCCTCTGACTTGTCAGGGTTTTAATTGCTTTCAGGATCCTTTTCTAAATTCTCCCAGAATCAGCGTATTGTCCTAGCAAAACTCTACGGGTTGGTTCGGCCCCTGTTCTGGTCTCTTCGCCCTTGCCAGGCCTTCAGAATTCCTAGCCTGCATCTCCATGCCCACTCACATGGCTGGCCCAGGGCGAGCAGAGAACTGACTGGGTCACCAACCGCTTCTGTGTCTCTCTCCCTCCCCTTGTGCTGGCTGAAGTCCAACACGGCTGTTACCAAACTGGAGCTGGAAGACAACTGCATCATGGAGGAGGGCGTCTTGAGCCTGGTGGAGATGCTACAAGAGAACTACTACCTCCAGGAGATGGTACTGTGCCCCGCTGTGCTGGCTCCTACCATCATCCCTGGGGATTCACAACCCACTGGACACAAGCCAGAGGCCCTGCCAGCCCCCGCCCTTCCCACGTGACTTCTCGGAAGAGGGTCACACGTGAGAGGCTGTGTTTCCTATGACTGTACAAAATCCTAAGAAACAATTTATGGCCAGGCATGGTGGCTCACACCTGCAATCCCAGCACTTTGGGAGGCCGAGGCGGGTGGATCACCTGAAGTCAGGAGTTCAAGCCCAGCCTGGCCAACATAGTGAAACCCCATCTCTACTAAAAGTACAAAAATTAGCCGGGCGTGGTGGTGGGCACCTGTAATCCCAGCTACTCAGAAGGCTGAATCAGGAGAATGGCTTGAACCCAGCAGGTGGAGGTTGCAGTGAGCCAAGATCGCGCCACTGCACTCCAGCCTGGGCGACAAGAGTGAGACTCCGTCTCAAAAAAAAAAAAAGAGGCCGGGCGCGGTGGCTCAAGCCTGTAATCCCAGCACTTTGGGAGGCCGAGACGGGCGGATCACGAGGTCAGGAGATCGAGACCATCCTGGCTAACCCGGTGAAACCCCGTCTCTACTAAAAAAATACAAAAAACTAGCCGGGCGAGGTGGCGGGCGCCTGTAGTCCCAGCTACTCGGGAGGCTGAGGCAGGAGAATGGCGTGAACCCGGGAGGCGGAGCTTGCAGTGAGCTGAGATCCGGCCACTGCACTCCAGCCTGGGCGACAGAGCGAGACTCCGTCTCAAAAAAAAAAAAAAAAAAAAAAGAAAGAAAGAAAGAAAAAAAGAACCCATTTCTGTCTGGAACTTAGAAGACCTTAAAAATGATAAATGTGGCCAGGCATAGTGGCTCACACCTGTAATCCCAACACTTTGGGAAGGCAAGGTGGGCAGATCACCTGAGGTCAGGAGTTCGAGACCAGCCTGGCCAACATGGTGGAACCCCGCCTCTACTAAAAATATAAAAAGTTAGCTGTGCATGGTGGTGTGCACCTGTAATCCCAGCTACTCGGGAGGCTGAGGCAGGAGAATTGCTTGAACCCCGGAGGCAAAGGTTGCAGTTAGCTGAGATGACGCCACTGCACTCCAGCCTAGGTGACAGAGTGAGACTCTGTTTCAAAAAAAAAAAAAAAAAATTGATAAATGTAGCTCTGCATAGTTGCCTTAAAGTGAACTTTCTTAAAGAAAGTAAAGACATGAAATAATTTCATGAAAGACAATGTGCCTAGAGATGGCTGGTGGTGATGGTTACACAATGGGAATATGCTTAATACCACAGCACTGGACACTGAAAAACGGCAAAGATGGTAAATCATGTTATGCTTATTTTACCATCTTAAAAAGAAATTCAAAGAAAAGGGGGAAACAACCAATTAAGACCATAATGGCCACTTTATATAAAGTCCCTCCCACTAGCTTAAAAGGACAATTCATACTTCCCGAATCAATGAGTGGAATTTACAATAATTCTGCACTCTGAACTCAATTTTCACTGTTTCACTGCCAAGCTCTCCACATGAAGCTGTTCTGGGTTTTAACACAAAGAAACAAAATAGCGTGCTTATCTCAAGCACCAAGGCTAAATTGGGAAAATAGGGAGTCCTTGAAGCCAACTTCAAAAGACTGAGACCAGCCAGCCCACGGGTCCCACAGGGAGGCCCTGGAAAAGCCGGCTCTAGAGCCTGGTTTCCTATTGCCCTTCTCTTCGTCCTTGGCACCACCCTATTCCTCCTAATCCTTCCCCATCCCAACCCTACGCCCTCAGCACAGGACTCAAGTAAACCACAAAAGACATCATTTGTTCATGAGGGCCCTTTGGTGAGCTTTTTTACATACCGAAGTGTTTTCTTGCCTTTTAGAATATTTCCAACAATCACCTTGGTTTGGAGGGGGCCAGAATCATCTCAGATTTCTTCGAGAGAAATAGTTCTTCCATCTGGAACCTTGAGCTTTCAGGTGAGCACATGGAAAGGGAGGGAGAAGACGCTGGGAATCAGAGGGAGGGAAGAGGGGAAAAACAGATAATTCAACGTCTCTTTGAACCAGACCATGTTCTTCTAGTCTTGGAGACCAGAATACTGCATCTATGCCTGTTAAAACCTCCCAGTCACACTCCCCTAGCCCCCGCCATTTATCATCCATATATGACATTACAGATGATATATAAACAATAATTTATCATATACTTTACCACCCAAACTGAATAGGGCACTATTAATTAACTGGAACCATAAGCAAACTGAGATATCTTGCACCCAATCGTAAACTATGTTTAATATGATTAAGAACATAAAATAAAATCATAAAAGAACAAATCACTTAAAAAAAATACCTCTCCTCCTCTCCACACCAAGATTTTCTTACAATGAAAAATTTATAGTCACTGATATTAAAGGCTCAACAAATAAATTCAATGGCACATTAGTTATGAGTGAGTAGAATTAGTGGAAAACATTTTATCTTTGCAGCATAGAAAGACAAAGACATAGAGAATATAAAAGATAAAAGAATTAAAAGAATGAGTAGTTTCCAGAAGGAGAAGAAATGAATGAGCAGCAATATTTGAACAAATAACAGCTAACATGTTCCCTAAATTGATAAATTTGCAGATACAGGAATTCAAGTAACTCCTAAGAAAGGTATATAAAAAGGAATCTACACTGGAATATATCTCTGAAAAACCCTTAAGATACAGAGAAGATCTGAAGAGTGTCTAGGGAGAAAATACAGAAATAAAGTTTGTGTATTTTTCTTTATAAAGATGGAGTCTCGCTATGTTGTCCAGGCTAGTCTTAAACTCCTGGGCTAGAGCAATCCTCCCGCCTCAGCCTCCCAAAGTGGTGGGATTACAGGCAGAAGCCACCGTGCCCAGCCTTAGTTTGTGTATTTTTAACATAAATGTTATTACAGGTCAGTTATTATTCTCCAATTTCTCTTGTTTTACACTAAATATATCCTGGATTTCTTTCTATGGCAAAACAAATAGATTTATCTCATTCTCTTGAACTGCTGACTAGTATTCTGAGTTATGGACATAGTACAGTTTATTTAACACCCCCCTATTTGGGAGAAAGGAGATTAAAGTCTTTTCTAATTTTGCCTTCAAGTAATATTTTAAAGGACTTTCTTGTTCATGCATCTTTTAGGCACATGTTCTTGTATTTCTAGATAGACACCCAGGAGCACAATTACTGAATATGAAGATGTATCCATTTTTGTGAACTTAACAATTGATTTCCAAATTTCCCTTTAAAAAGACTGCCAGGTTATAATTCTACCAATGAACTGTTGCCTATACTATCCCCAGAAGGGAAATAGCAAGCTATTTGTGAATCAAAATGGTTAAGCGTGTGGGTGTAGAAGTCACAGTGCTTGGGTTCAAAACCCAGCTTTGACACTGGGCAAGTTTTTTAACCATTTTGTGCCTCATTTTCTCATTCATAAACTAAAGATAATTATATTACCTCAGATGGTTGTTATGAATATTAAGTGAATTAAAATCTAAAACTCCCAGAACTGTACCTAGTACATAAGTATTCAATGTGTTCCTCGCATTATTTTCTTTGTTACTGTTACACATTCTATTACTATTGAAATAGAACACCTTTTGAGATGCTCACTTCCACTTCTATTTTCTCTTCTATGAAATGTCAGTTGTTGCATGGGGTTGTTAGTATGACTTAGTTTTAGCCATTCTTCATAAACTATAGGTATTCATACTTGAATGTTAGAATGTTAGATACAGGTTTATTTATGGTACTTTCTTTTTTTGTTTTGTTTTTTCTTTTTTTTTGAGACAGAGTTTCGCTCTGTCACCAGGCTGGAGTGCAGTGGCTCGATCTGGACTCACTGCAACCTCTGCCTCCCAGGTTCAAGCAATTCTCCTGCCTCAGCCTTCTGAGTAGCTGGGACTCGCGTGCCACCATGCCCGGCTAGTTTTTGTATTTTTAGTAGAGACGGGGTTTCACCATGTTGGACAGGATGGTCTCGATCTCTTGACCTCATGATCTGCCCGCCTCAGCCTCCCAAAGTGCGGGAATTACAGGCATGAGACACCGTGCCCAGCCTGTTTATGGTACTTTCTTGTAGCAAAGTTTGTGTCTTTTATTGATGTCAAGTTTTATAGTCTTTTTCCTTTATGGATTTAATTTTTGTAGTCTTACTTTAAAACTCTTTCCCAAAGTTTATAAAAATATTTTCCTGAACCAGCAGTGGTGGCATGCACTGATAGTCCCATTCACTCAGGAGGCTGAGGTGGGAGAATTGCTTGAGCCCAGGACTGGCTCCCCTGGGCAACATAGCAAGACCCATCTGTAAAAAATAAAAAGAAAACAAAATTAGGTAACAATATTTTCATTTATTTTTTTCAATTTTTGTTGTTGTTGTTTCTACTATCAGCTTTCTAATATATCTAATACTTGTTTGTGCATGGCATGAGGTAGATGTCAGATGTTTTATTTCCAAAACTGATAGCCAGGTACTCCAGCATCTCAATGTCATAATTCATCCTTTTATGATTAATTTAAAATATCATCTTTATCATATATTAAACTCCCATTATAAATATAGGTTTCCTTCTAGATTCTCTGTTTTGTTTCATTAATCTATTTATGTATTTCCATGTCAACACTGCATTGTCTTAATATTTGTTTAGAATATTAAAATTATAATTACCACATATTATAACTGATAAGATGTTGTAACTAATACAAAAAAAGATGATGTACTGTTTAGTATATGTTATAAAATCTTATAATAAATATTTTTTGTTTGTTTGTTTTTGAGATGGAGTCTCCTTCTGTCACCCAGGCTGGAGCGCAGTGGCGCCATCTCAGCTCATTACAACCTCTGCCTCCTGGGTTCAAGTGATTCTCCTGTCTCAGCATTCCGGGTAGCTGGGATTACAGGTGGATGCTGCCATGCCCAGCTAATTTTTGTATTTTTAGTGGAGACAGAGTTTTGCCATGTTGGCCAGGCTGGTCTCAAACTCCTGACCTCAAGTGATCCACCCGCCTCGGCCTCCCAAAGTGCTGGGATTACAGGCATGAGCCACTGTGCCCAGCCAATAAATATGTTTTGTATGTGAGTGGGCATTACTTTTTTTCAAAGTAACCTTGAATCTTTTTTTGAAAGTAATCTTGAATCTTTTCTTCAAAATAATTCCGCAATATTGAGGCTATTAGTATTGTAAGTAATAGTAATCTTGGCTATTCTTGTACAGTTTCTCCTCCAGGTGAATTTGAGAATCATTTTGTCAAGTTCTATTTAAGGAAAAAAAAAAGAAGAAGAAAACACCTGTTGGAGTTTTGGTTGGGGTTCCATTTAATATTCTAGATTAATTTATGAAAGAACTGACATATTCGCAATATTGAGTCTCCTCATTTATGAACATGGTTTATCTCTACTCCTTCAGGTCTATATATATATATATATATACACTTTTTTTTTTTTTTTTTTTTGAGAAGGAGTTTCACTCTTGTTTCCCAGGCTGGAGTGCAATGGCACGATCTTGGCTCACCACAATCTCTGCTTCCTGGTTTCAAGTGATTCTCCTGCCTCAGCCTCCCAAGTAACTGGGATTACAGGTGTAAGCCACCGTGGCCAGCCCCAGGTCTTTTTATATTCTTGAGTAAAGTTTTAATTTCTTCTATTATAAGCCTTGCATTATTTATATTAGGTTTATTTCTAGGTCTTCTATTATTTTATCTTATGCAAACAGAATGTTTTTTTCTATCACATTTTCTAATTGGTCATTACTGGTGTGTCTGAAAGCTATTAATTTTTATACATTGATTCTATATCCAGTCACTTTATTAAATTATCTTATGAGTTCTAACATTTTGATAATTTTACAGAATTATTTAGATAGGTGACTATATCTGCAAATAATGATAGTTTTTTCTTTTCTAATATTTATATCTCCTAATTATTTTTCTGGTTGCATTGGCTAAGACCCCTAACATAATGTGTTAACATAGTACAGAAAGCTCTTTGTAAAAATACAAATTGCCCAGTCCTATCCCAGTCTGATGAAATCAGAATCTTTAGCAGGAGAAATCTTGGAATCTGTGTTTTTTCAAATTTCACAAATAAATCTCTTACAACCAGCTCTGTACCATCTGTAACCACTGATTTAAACATAAGAATTTGAATAATTAATCACCTAGTTTTATGCATTGACTAGCTTATTATCTCACTTTATTGGACTGCTAACAGACACAGCCAAACAAGTATTTGTGTTCCAGTGAACGCATTCATTCATTCATTCGTTCACTCACTTTATTAAGGACCTGTTATGTGCCAAGCACTATGTAGGTGGTAGAGATACAAAGCTTATTGAGGGTTCAAAGGAGGAAATTTGGGAATAAGGCTCTATGTCATGTACTTCCCAGAAATCACCAGTGTCTTACATTGCTTAGCAGGGCCACAACTCGGGTAAGGTGAGTGAGCCACTTGCGTTGGTCACAAATGTAAGGAGTGCCAAAATATCATGATGAGCAAAATATCAAGACATTAAATAAAAACAGCATCCAAAAGGGATAGAATGGACTGAGGTGAATAAGGTCTAGTCATGCGTGTGCAGGGTCGGATCCTGTCTCTATTTAAAATTATAAACACACCGGGCATGAATCCCAGCACTTGAGGAGGCTGAGGTGGGCAGATCATGAGGTCAGGAGTTTGAGACCAGCCTGACCAACATGATGAAACCATGTCGCTACTAAAAATACAAAACTTAGCCGGGCGTGGTGGCGCACACCTGTAATCCCAGCTACTCAGGAGACTGAGGCAGGAGAATTGCTTGAACCCAGGAGACAGAGGTTGCAGTGAGCCGAGATCATGCCACTGCACTCCAGCCTGGGTGACAGAGCAAGACTCCATAAAAAAATTAAAATTAAAATTAAAATATTAAAATTAAAAAAAACACTTGTTATATATAGATGATTTTGGACTAATTTTGATTTTTTTAGTGTATTAGGATATTCTTCTTCTTGATTACTGAGTTTTTAGGCACCCCTTAAATTTTGCACCCATGGCAAGTGTCTCACTCACAGGTGTCCCAGTCCTGCTGCTTGAACTTGGATGAGCATTTTTAGGATGTTACAGACTCTAGGCACTAGACTGGGGGTTGATGTTGCTAATGAATGCACAGGGTATGCTACCAACTCCTGGAATTTCATGGCAGAGAGAAAAGGCAATGTTAAAGGAGAGGGTAAACAGTTGCCTTGTTCTCTTTTGTCCACGTAATACTTGCTTTAAGTCCCCTTCCCTCCTCTCCACTCCCCTCCCCTCCCTTCCCTTCCCTTCCCTTCCTTTCCTTTCCTTTCTTATTTGATTTTATTATTTTATTTTATTTTTGAGATGAAGTCTTGCTCTGTCACTCAGGCTGGAGTGCAGTGGCGTGATCTCGGCTCACTGCAACCTCCACCTCCCAGGTTCAAGCATTTCTCATGCCTCAGCCTCCTGAGTAGCTGGGACCACAGGCGTGCACCGTCTTGCCTAATTTTTGTATTCTTAGTAGAGACAGGGTTTTGCCATGTTGGCCAGGCTAGTCTCGAACTCCTGACCTCAGGTGATCCACCCACCTTGGCCTGTAAATGTTCTGGGATTACAGGCATGAGCCACCATGCGCAGGCTCCTTTTCTTTTTTTTTTTTTTTTAAACAGGATGTTGGTCCGTCACACAGGCTGGAGTGCTGTGGCACCAACATGGCTCACTGCAGCCTCGCCCTCCTGGGTTCAAGTGATCCTCCCACCTCAGCCTCCAAAGTATCTGGGACCACAGGTTCATGCCACCATGCCTGGCTAATTTTTAAAAAAATTCTTTGTAGAGGCAAGGACTCACTATGTTGGCCAGGCTGGTCTCAAACTCCTGGGCTCAGGCGATCCTCCCACCTCTGCCTCCCAAAGTTTCTCTGTCTGATTGTTCTAAAGGGAAATGGACTGGGAGGGGTAGAGGGTGGGAGAGGCCATGGTGAACCAGCAGTGCGTTGCTGACACACCACCCTCACTACAGGAAATGACTTCAAGGAAGAATCCGCAGCACCGCTCTGCCAAGCCCTGTCGGTAAGAGGCAGGGAGTGCAGCCAAGCCACGTGGGTGATGTCCCTGGGAGATCTGGGCAACCTGGGGCTGCTATGGGCACAGTGACCTGAGGCTACTTGCACATGTTAGGGACTGGGGAGTGTTTAGACCTTGCCAACCCCAGCAAAAGCCGCAGCAAATGGTAGAACTGTTTATATGGCACTAAGTTCTCCCAGCACAGTCCAACAAAAAATGCCTAAGACAATGTCTTCACCTAATTTTTGGTACATCAGAGCCCTGCCATCATACTGCCCTGAGATAAGTAAGATATTTGCAATCAGAAGACAAAAAATCCTTCTCTTTCCCCTGTTTGTTTCTGTAGACCAATTACCGAATTAAGAAGCTGGATCTCAGTCACAACCAATTCTCTGATATAGGAGGGGAGCAACTGGGCCAGATGCTGGGTGAGTCTCCCTGGAGGAAGGGACAGCAAAGGGGAGGGATGGGGAGGATTACTTGGCAGAGCTGAATCTCCCTTTTTAACATTATTTTTAAATGTTGTGATTATAAAAGTGATGTAAACCATGCCCAAAATATATTCAGAATTGGCTGGGTGCAGTGGCTTATGCCTGTAATCCCAGAACTTTGGGAGCCTGAGGCAGAAGGATTGCTTGAGCCCAGGAGTTCAAGACCAGCCTGGGCAACATAAGGAGACCCCTGTCTCTTTAAAATATCAAAAAATTAGCCAGGTATGGTGGTGCACACCTGTAGTCCCAGCTACTTGGAAGGCTGAGGTGGGAGGATCCTTTGAGCCCAGGAAGTCGAGGCTGCAGTGAGCTATAATCATGCCACGCCACTCCAGCCTGGGCAACAGAGACCCTGTCTCAAAAGAAGAAGAAGGAGAGGGAGAGGGAGTCGGAGAAGGAGAGGGAAGGGACAGGGAGAGGAAGTGGGAGAGGGAGAGGGAAGGAGAGGCGGGACAGGGAGAGGAAGGGAGGGTGGGAGAGGGGGTGGAGAGGGAAGGGACAGGGAGAGGAAGTGGGAGAGGGAGAGGGAAGGGACAGGAAGAGGAAGTGGGAGAGGGAGAGGGAGAGGGAGGGGGAGAGGGAGAGGGAGGGGAAGAGGGAGAGGGAGGGGAAGAGGGAGAGGGAGGGGGAGAGGGAGGGGGAGGGGGAGAGGGAGGGGGAGGGGAAGAAGCAGCAGCAGCAAACACCTGAACATAGGAAGCAAAACTTTATGACGATTAGAAGAACATAGAAACAACTAACAACTGGCTGATCTCAGGAAGGCTAATGACTGTTAAGTATGGCCCAGTAAGCATAAACGGTCCAAAAGCAATTGAAAAGTACTTTTTGGGTACTATGCTTATTACCTGGGTGATGAAATGATCAGTACACCAAACCCCTGAGACATGCAATTTACCTATATAACAAACCAGCACATGTACACCTGAACCTAAAAGTTTTAAAAATCCCCATATTTGACAACAATATATTTGAAACATGCATATCATAAAAAGACACATAACCATGAACAAACTTAAAAGACAAGCAACAGGCTGGACATGGTGGCTCATGCCTGTAATCCCAGCACTTTGGGAGGCCGAGGTGGGTGGATCACAAGGTCAAGATATCGAGACCATCCTGGCCAACATGGTGAAACCCCATCTCCACTAAAAACACAAAATTAGCCGAACGTGGTGGTGTGCGCCTGTTGTCCCAGCTACTCGGGAGGCGAGGTAGGAGAATTGCCTGAACCCAACAGGTGGAGGTTGTGGTGAGCTGAGATCGCGCCACTGCACTCCAGCCTGGGCAACAGAAGGAGACTCCGTCTCAAAAACAAAAACAAAAGACAAGCAACAGACAGGGGGTAGACACTTGCAGCATTTGTAGAGTACAAAAATTAGTATTCAGAATGTTGATAAAAGATCCTTAGCTCAATTAGACAATGATAAATAGCCTCAATAGAGCAATGGTCAAGGCATATGCATAGCAAAAGAAGAAAGTCGAGTGCCCAAATCTCTTTACTAATTAGAGAAATGAAAGGTCCTCCTTGTCATCTATTAAAGCTGTGAAAGTTTAAAGCCAGTGAATGTCAAAGGCTGCGGACAACCGAGCAAAATAAGAATACTTCCAAGCTGCCGGGCACTTTTGAGATCAACTTGACAATCCTTGGTAAACTTGAAAATGTGTCTATTCTCTGATGCAGAAATTCCCTCCCATCAAGGGGAATTGTCTCAGAGAAGCTCTCACACATACACAGAGAAATGTGTGAGGAGGTTATTACAGCATCGTCATAAAAGAGAAAAAAAAATAGTAACAACCTAAATAGTCATCCCCAGGCAAATGAGTAGAAAAAAGGAAGTTGTCACAGGAGTCTAAGCAAGACAGGAAAATAGCTTGAGCTCAGGGAGGAGGCGGGGATAGAGAAGAGTGAATGAATTCAGAATATATTTTGGGGGTAAAGCCAAAAGGACTTGCTGATGTGAAGAATGGGGGAAAGAGAGAGAGAGATAGACTCATGGTCATTTTGCTTCAGCTATTGGTTGGATGACGGTGTTGTTTATGTGGATGGAGACAACTCAGGGAGCAACAGAGACAGGTGGGACAGGAGATAGGAGACCCGTTTTCCATTTTGGCTACATGATGTTTGCAATGGCCATTTGACACCGACATAGAGAAGTCAGGTAGATGGTGTGCTGTATAAGTTTAGAGCTTTGTGAAGATATCAGGGCTGAAGATACACTTTTGTGGGTCATAGGTATATAGATGTATTTAAAACCATGAGGCAAGATGAGGTCATCTAGGCGGGGAGTGTAGACAGAGAGTTGAGTAGGTGGCCATCGAACTGACCTTTGGGTCACTCCAAGATTTTTAGGTTTCACAGAGGAGGAAGAGGAGCCTGAGGAGTGGTCAGTCAAATAGGAGGGACACCAGAAAAGTGAGGTGGCAGGAGCCAAGGAAGGGAGCAGTTCAGGAAGAAGGTCAGCAGTTGTGTCAAATGCTGTTGAGAGGTCAAATAAGACAAGGATAAAATAGTGACCATGGCACTTGGCAGCATGGAGAGTTAGTGGCTTTGAAAGTACTAGTTTAACTATTCACAGTAACAAAGACATGGAATCAACCTAAATGCCCATCAGTGGTAGACTGGATAACAACAACAAAAAAAAAAACGTGGTGCATATACACCATGGAATACAATGCAGTCACACACACACAAAAAAAACAGTGAAATCATGTTCTTGGCAGGAACAGGGATGGAGCTGGAGGCCATTATCCTTAGCAAACTAATGTAGGAACAGAAAACCAAATACCACCTGTTCTCAATTATAAGTGGGAGCTAAATGATGAGAACACACGAACACAGAGAGGGGAACAGACACTGGGGACTAACTGAGGGTGGAGGGAGGGAGGAGGGAGAGGAACGGGAAAAATAATGAGTACTAGGGCCTAATACTTGGGTGATGAAATAATCTGTGCAACAAACTCTGTGACACAAGTTTACCTATATAACAAACCTGCACATGTACCCCTGAACTTAAAATTAAAAAAAAAAAAGAAGTGCTGTTTTAGCGGAGTGGGTGAGTATGGAAACCCAACTGGAGGAGGTTGAGTTGAAAATGGAGGCCTGGCACAGTGGCTCATGCCTGTAATCCCAGTGCTTTGGGAGGCTAAGATGGGAAGCCAGGAGCTCAACACCAGCTTGGGCAACATAGTGAGACCCTCTCTCTACAAAAAATTCAAAAATTAGGCCAGGCACAGTGTCTCACACCTGTAATCCCAGCAGTTTGGGAGGCTGAAGTGGGTAGATCACCTGAGGTCAGGAGTTCAAGACCAGCCTGGCCTTGAGGCAGAGGTTGCAGTGAGACGAGATCCTGCTGAAGCCTGGGTGACAGAGTGAGACTTCATCTCAAAAAAAAAAAAAAAGAATCAAAAATTAGCTGGGCATGGTGGCACATGCCTATAGTCCCAGCTACTTGGGAGGCTGAGGTGGGAGAATTGTTTGAGCCCCGGAGTTAGAGGTTATAGTAAGCTGTGATCATGCCACTGCACTCCAGCCTGAGCAACAGAGTGAGACCCTGTCCTCTAAAAATAAAAAGAAAATAGGATGCAAAGCAAAAAGAACACTATAGGCAACTGCAGAAGTTCTGCTGGGAAAGTTGGAACAGAAAGAGGGGGCAGGAGCCAAGGGAGACATAGAGTCCAAGGAGGGTTCTTAAGGATGGAAAATGCTGAGAGGAAGAAAGAAGAAACTGATGCTACAGAAGAAGAAGGAGGTAATTACAGGAGCAAAGTCCATGAAAAGGCTGCAGGCAATGGAGTCCAGAACAGAAGTGCAGAGCTCGCCGGCCTGAGAGAGCAGGAGGGACAGTTCATTCATGGAAAAACAGACGAGGAAAGGGTGGTGCAGGTGCAGGTAAGTGGATAGATTTCATGGTGGCATTTGAAGCCTGTCATTGCTGCTATTTTCTCAGTGAAGTAGGAGGCAAGATCTTCAGCTGAAAGTTCAGTTCATACCACTAGGGTTGATGGGAGGGCAGGAGGTATAAAATACCATGTAGGAGGGAGGAACAACATGTAATGGAAGCACCTTTCTAGGTGGAGCAGTTTGAGTCTCTGTCTGAAAGCTGAGGTCATAAATTTAACGTGAGACAGACTGTGCTCTCTTTTTTGTTTTGTTTTTGACACGGAGTCTCACTCTGTCGCCCAGGCTGGGTGGAATGCAGTGGCACAATCTTGGCTCACTGCAGCCTCTGCCTCCCGGGTTCAAGCAATTCTCATGCCTCAACTTCCTGAGTAGCTGGGATTATACACCCAAGCCATCACGCCCAGCTAATTTTTTTGTATTTTTGGTAGAGATGGGTTTTCACCATGTTGGCCAGGCTGGTCTCCAACTCCTGGCCTCAAGTGATCCACCCTCATCGGCCTCCCAAAGTGCTGGGATTACAGACGTGAGCCACTGTGCCCGGCCTGTGCCCTCTTTTAAAACTGTTATAATCGTACTGCAAATGCAGCTTTTAAAAACACTTACTATTGCTGGGCGCGGTAGCTCATGCCTGTAATCCCAACAGTTTCGGAGACTGAGGCGGGTGGACCACCTGAGGTCAGGAGTTCAAGACCAGCCTGGCCAACATGGTGAAATCCTGTCTCTACTAAAAATACAAAAAAATTAGCTGGACATGGTGACTTGGGCGTATAATCCCAGCTACTCGAGAGGGTGAGGAAGGAGAATCACTTGAACCTGGGAGGCAGAGGTTGCAGTGAGCAGAGATCGCGTCATTGCACTCCAACCTGGGCAACAACAGTGAAATTTCGTCTCAAAAATAAAAAAATAAAAAAACAAAAAACAAAAAATAAAAAAAACCACTTATTTGAAGTGATTGCTATGTGACAGGCATCGTGTTGGGCATTTTACATCGATCCTCATAAAAACTCTATATAGGTTGATATCTCCATTGTAAGAAAACAGATGTAAAGGAAAGATAAGTAACCTGCCTGAAATCACACGTGTAGTAAGTGGTGAGATCAGAATTACAATCTAACTTGTGTGGCCATTTGAGTGATGCGGGTGTGTAAGGTGTAGCTTAAATGAGGGAACTGGCAGAGAAGAGAAAATAAGGGTAAGGAGAGAGTGAGGGAGAGAGGGGAGGGGGCAATGAAGGCAGGAGAAAGTTTGTTCCCGAAATTATATAAGGTGTTGTGCACTTTTTACTAAAAACTCACACCGAGGGTTGACACAAAGAGAAGCATGATCAGAACATAGTGCACTGTTCATAAAAAATAAGAAATCCCAGCACTTTGGGAGGCCGAGGTGGCTGGATCACCTGAGGTGAGGAGTTCCAGACTAGCCTGGCCAACATGATGAAACCCTGTCTCTACTAAGAATACAAAAAATTAGCTGGGCGTGGTGGCGGGCACCTATAATCCCAGCTACCCGGGAGGCTGAAGCAGGAGAATCACTTGAACCCAGGAGGTGGAGGTTGCAGTGAGCCGAGATTGTGCCATTGCACTCCAGCCTGGCAACAAGAGCAAAACTGTGTCTCAAAAAAAAAAAAAGAAAGAAAGAAAAAGAAAAGAAATAAGACATTATTCCTGGGCCAGAGGCCTAAAGGCAATTCCTCCCGTTCAGTAATGGTTCAAGAGGACTTTAGCCTTTCCGTCAATGGCCTCCTTGGCATAACTGTCCTACCCAGATAAAAACAACAATAATAGTGTGTTTAAACAGGATCTTCCAACCCTGTGGAACATGTAAGCAAAATCATCTTCAGGTCAAAACAAAAGTATGATTTCTGTGCAAACCCAGCTTCTCACCAAGCCTGATGCCTCCCCACTTCCAACTCATTGTGCCCCTGAGCCTCTCCTGGAGAGAAATTCTGGAGTCACCACTGCAGCCATGGCCTGCCATGATAAAGACATCACGTGACATAGTATGCCAGGTCCATCACAGCCTTCCTGTGTAAATACAGCCCCTGAAGATGTTTTCCAGCTGCTTCTATTTTAATTAATAATATTCCACCAGATAAATAATTATTGCTTTTATTTATTTATTTTTGAGACGCAGTCCTGCTCTGTCACCCAGGCTGGAGTGCAATGGCACCATCTTGGCTCACTGCAACCTCCGCCTCCCGGGTTCAATCAATTCTCCTGCCTCAGCCTCCTGAATAGCTGGGACTACATGTGTGAGCCACCACGCCCAGTGAATTTTTGTATTTTTAGTAGAGACAGAGACAGGGTTTCACCATGTTGGCCAGGCTGGTCTCAAACTCCTGACCTCTGGTGATCCACCTGCCTTGGCCTCCCAAAGTGCTGAGATTACAGGTGAGCCACCATGCCCAGCCAAATAATTCTTACTTTTTTTGGGGGGGGACAGAATCTTGCTCCGTCGCCAGGCTGGAATACAGTGGCGCAACCTCAGCTCACTGCAACGTCTGCCTCCCAGGTTCAAGCGATTCTCCTGCCTCGGCCTCTCAAGTAGCTGGGACTAAAGGCACACGCCACCACACCCAGCTAATTTTAGTATTTTTAGTAAAGATGCAATTTCACCATGTTGGCCAGGATGGTCTCGATCTCTTGACCTCGTGATCTGCCCACCTTGGCCTCCCAAAGTGCTAGGATTACAGGCGTGAGCCACTGTGCCCAGCTAATTCTTACTTTTATAAATGATGCCATGGTAAACATCTACAAGCACCTTGCTCTTCCCATATTCTGTGCTGTCGTCTTAGGTAGAGTCTCAGAGGTGAGTGATAGAGTATGCACATTTTAATGGGAAAATATCTGTGATCAGATAATATCTGCCAAATAGACTATACCAATTTCCTTCCCCCCTAAACTGTGTAAGGAGGATTATTTCACCGCATCTTTGCCAGCATTGGGGATCGTCTTACAATTTTGTGTTTAAATGAATAACTGAAAAAATTATTATCTGAGAATTTTACTTTGCATGACCACTGAGTGGTCTTTATCCCCAATGTCGTGGGCGTCTGTTAACTCTGAGAATGGGTTTTCTGGGCTGTGGGAGATGCTAAGCCAATTCCCTCCCTGTTTCAGCCATCAATGTGGGGCTCACGTCACTGGATCTGAGCTGGAATAACTTCCACACAAGGGGAGCTGTGGCCTTGTGCAACGGTCTCCGGGTAAGGCACTCTCCAGGAGTGGTGGGTGGAGTCCAGTTGAAGATAGCCAGGGCCTCCCATTCTGCCATCCTAAGCCTCTTCCTCATGGTCACCATCAATGAGGGTGTACTGAGCTCTCATCATACTTGAAAATACTTTTCAAGTTATTGGTCTCCCTCCTACAATTCCTGGATGCACGTTATTCTTTTTTTTTTTTTTTTTTTGAGATGTAGTCTCACTGTGTGGCCCAGGCTGGAGTGCAGTAGTGCATTCTTTGCTCACTGCAACCACCACCTCCCGGGTTCAAGCGATTCTCCTGCCTCAGCCCCCTGAGTAGCTGAGACTACAGGTATCCGCCACCATGCCCAGCTAATTTTTGTATTTTTAGTAGAAATGTGGTTTCACCATATTGGCCAGGCCGGTCTCGAACTCCTGACCTTGTGATCCGCCCGCCTCCCAAAGTGCTGGGATCACAGGTGTGAGCCACCGCGCCTGGCCTGCACATTATTCTTTAGTATAAATCATATCTGCTGAGGCCAGAGTGGCATCTTTGGATACACTTCAAGAGGGTAGTTTAATTAGTGGGTAGGGAATGACCAAAAGCCAAAGGGAGGGAGTCTCATGAGCACTTGAGACTGAGCCCAGCTGGGAGCTCTGAATGATCTGGCAAATCCATCGGTCCTGGGGACCACTGAGCGCCCAGTCTGGATGCCAACAGGGGGTAGAAGTCAGGGCCCTTGTGGTTGGATGAGTCACACGCAACCTTGATGCTGGTGCTGTTCTCCCCTCTTCCTGGAGGGTAATGTGACCCTGACAAAGCTGGATCTCTCCATGAATGGCCTTGGGAATGAGGGGGCTGTGGCCCTAGGGGAGGTCCTCCGACTCAACAGCTGCCTGGTCTACCTGGATGTCGGCGGCAATGACATCGGCAATGAAGGGGCCTCCAAAATCAGCAAAGGACTGGAATCCAATGAAAGCCTCAGAGTTCTGAAGGTAGTCTTCAGCTGGAAAGGGGCTATTTTGTGTGTGTGTGTGTGTGTGTGTGTGTGTGTGTGTGTGTGTGTGTGTTGGGGTGAGTTGGGGGCTGCATAATACTGGAGAGAATAATTGGGAACATCTGTACTTCATATATGCATGTATTTTTTTTTACCACCTCTTGGCTGTAAATGCAGTGACCATTCTCTACTATAAAGCCAGTGTCACCCTCAGTGCTCCCTGGTGCACTACAGATCTTCCTAACAGGGCTTCCTTCCTCCCATCTGGGTCTCCTTCAGGATCACACTGCCACCAGAGTGTGCTTTTTTCTTCTTTTGAGACAGGGTCTGGCTCTGTCCCCCAGGCTGGAGTACAGTGGTGCAATCTCAGCTCACCGCAACCTCCGCCTCTGAGGTTCAAACCGTCCTCCCACCTCAGTCTCCTAAAGTGCTGGGATTACAGGCATGAGCCACTGTGCCTAGCCCTCAGAATGTGCTTTTTGAACACAAATCTGACGTCCATTCCCCTTCCTCCAGTCCCTCAGTCTCCTGTCTTTCAGCTTAGACCCCGGCATGGCTTCCTGTTGCTCAGATCCCGTTCGCTGAGCCCCAAGTGCCCCTCCAGCCTCAGTCCACCCGGTGCTCCCCCTTGCTCTGCACCCAGGACCCCCTGGTCTTCTCTCCGCTCCTTTCCTCCTACCACAGAGGCTTGGCTGCTCCCCCTCCACTTGCTTGCTGCTGGGATCCTCCGTCTAGGGGACCTGCTCCCAGAGCCCTGCTCCCTACTTCCCATAGAACTCGCTGCCCTTTCTAATTCCATGTACATAAGGGCTCTTTGCTCACCTGTCATCCCGTCAAATGTGAAAGCTTCATCAGAACGAAGACTGTGTTTGGGCCAGGTACGGTGGCTCACGCCTGTAATCCCAGCCCTTTGGGAGGCCAAAGTGGGTGGATCACTTGAGGTCAGGAGTTCAAGACCAGTGTGGCCAACATGGTGAAACCTTGTCTCTAATAAAAATACAAGGCTGGGCACGGTGGCTCAAGCCTGTAATCCCAGCACTTTGGGAGGCCAAGATGGGCAGATCACGAGGTCAGGAGATCCAGACCATCCTGGCTAACACGGTGAAACTCCGTCTCTACTAAAAAATACAAAAAACTAGCCAGGCGAGGTGGCGGGCGCCTATAGTCCTAGCTATTCGGGAGGCTGAGGCAGGAGAATGGTGTGAACCCGGGAGGCGGAGCGTGCAGTGAGTTGAGATCCAGCCACTGCACTCCAGTCTGGGCGACAGAGTGAGACTCCGTTTCAAAAAAAAAAAAATACAAAATTAGCCAGGCGTGGTTGTGCATGCTTGTAATCCCAGCTACTTGGGAGGCTGAGGCAGGAGAATCACTGAACCCAGGAGACGGAGGTTGCTGTGAGCCGAGACCATGCCACTGCACTCCAGCCTGGGTGACAGAGTGAGACTCTGTCTCAAAAAAAAGATCGAAGACTGGTTTTCCCATCATTAAACTCCTTATACCTAGTCCCTCATACCTAGCATAGTGTTGGGCACATAGTAGAAGCCCAGTGAATATTCATCAAATGAATGAATTAATGAATACATATTTCATTTTAAATTAATTTACATGTAGATGCTAATTTATAATATAGATGCTATTGAGTGGTTGGAAAATAAATGAAAGGTGAGGACTTCTATTAATCATCTCCCTTTCTGGGGCTCCTGCCAAGAGCCAGCTCTCATTACTCATAGCCTCACCTGGTAATGTGGGCTCTGTTAGCCCCACTTGTCAGATGAGAAAACTGAGGTTGTGTGACTTGCTTACGCCACACAAGTAGCAGGAGGCAGAGGGAAGCCTGCTCTACCTGGTTTTCCATGGCAACTCCAACTCCCTCAATATGTGAGGGTGACTGGGGAGACCACAGATGTGAGGGTCCTGAAGAAAAAAAAAACAGTAAGGAAACGGTGAGGAAGGGGATGCCATCTGAGAAGACAACCATGAGGAGCTGCTAAGAGGACAGGAGGAAGCCAGATTCTGACAGGCAGGAGCACAGTGACTACAGACCAAACAGATTGGCCATCTAGTGACCAGGAGATCTGGGAGTCCCAGCTGGGGTGGAGCGGGGCCAGGCATAACTCAGACAGAGACTAACCCAGGCTGTGGGTGGCTCAGCCCCATTGGCTGAGGAAGACAGGGACAGTCTGAGAAACTGAATTTTAAAAGACTAAGCAGTTGCCTCAGCAAAATGGCAATAGGGGGCTTTGCTGTTTTGTGGGTATACACGGTTTAAACCATTTTTTGCCGCTTTTCTCATTTTTCCACAATAACCGTATGTAATGAATATATTTCAATTTTCTAAAATGTTTTAGAAGTAAAAGAGAAAAGTTTAAGACAAAACTCTTAGTTTGGCCACCATGGAAACCACATCAACTTTGCCACAGGAATTATCTGTGGGTCTCCACATCCAGCCTGGTGCCCATTTCCCCTAAACTTGGAAAAATAAGGAATTCCCATTAGGAAGTGAGTCCAGCAGATTCTAGATGCTGAGGTCCATGAGGCCTGGACCCCAGTCTGCATTTTCTTACGGGAGTATATCAGAGCCTGGGACACAGCTGACATATACTAGGTGCTCAGTAAGAGTTTTGGCTGCCTCATCATGAAGCCACTTAGCTGAAAGCCTTCCATAATAAGAACTATTGTTCACTGACAGCATACTGCTTACCAGGCAGTCATTTTAATGCTTTGCCTGAATTGGTATGGTAAGTCCTCAGAGCAGCCATAGGTGATAAGTACAAAGCGATCAGGGAATTAATGAAACGCCAGGCAGCTGGTAAGCAAAGCCACCAGGCTCCAGAGTCCCTTCCTTTAACTTCTATCCATGCTTCAGCAGCTCCTAGCACCCCTGGGATAATGTCCTTGTTCCTTCTCCAAGCCTATAAGGTTCTCCATGATGTGGTCCATCCCAGCTCTGTGGCTTCATTCTCTCTGCTTTTGCTCACCAACATCTCGTGCTGTTTCACACCCCTATGCCTTTGCACTTGCATACTCTTTACTTCTTTGGTGAATCTTGTTTCCTCCTCTGGTTTTTTCCCCCCTTCCTCAGACCTCACTAATCCTCATTAGTCCTGCAAGGCTTAGCTCCATGGTCCCCTCCCCTATGCTGCATGCTCCTTTCCTTGCTCCTGCAGTACCCAGGTGTACCTCTGTCACTGCTGTCATAACACTTCTGATGCTATTGGCTTGTTTGCCTTTCTCCCCCAGTTACAGTGTTAAGCTACCCAAGGGCAGAAACCTTGCCATGTCTGCTTATGTGTCCCTCAGTGCTTAGTCCAGTAGCTGGCGTATGGCAAGCCCCTAATTAATATGTGCTGGGTGGATGGATGGATGGGTGGACGGATGAGCAGTGAGATGAACAGATGACTGGCTGGATGGATGGATGGCTAGATGGATGGATGGATGACAGGTGGATGGATGAGTAGATACACAGGGAGATGAATGGATGGATGGATAAATAGATGGTTGGATAGATAGATGGTTGGATAAATGAGCAGTTGGATGGATAGATCTGTGGGTGGATGGATGGATGAGCAGTGAGTTGGATAAGTGAGTGGATGGATGGATGGATGGATGGATGGATGAGAGGTGGATGGATGAGGAGATGAACAGGTGAATGAATAGATAGATGGTTGGGTGGATGAGCAGTGAGATGGACAGATGAGTGGGTGGGTGGATGGATGCATGGAGGGGAGAGCAGTGAGATGGATAAGTTGGTGGTTGGAGGAATGGATGGATGGATGGACGGATGGATGAGCAGTGAGATGGATGAGTAGATAAGTAGATGAATGGATGGATAGAGAGATGGTTGGATGGATGAGCAGTAAGATGGACAGATGGTGGGTGGATGGGTGGGTAGATGGATGGATGGATGGATGGATGGATCAGCAGTGAGATAGGCAGACAGATGGATAAACAAACAGACGGAAAGGAGATAATTACTTACAGAGAAGTCTGGATATGAGACAGAGGTTGTGATTTGATGAGATGTAGCAACTGTGCTCTGGGCCAGCCTCATCCTCCCATCTCAGCCTCCTCTTGTCTTGATTCTCCCTCTATAGCTTTTCCTGAATCCCATAAGTATGGATGGGGCTATTTTACTTATCCTGGCTATCAAGAGGAACCCCAAATCCAGGATGGAAGAGCTTGATATTTCCGTAAGTGATCAAATGGTAGTTGCTTGTGTCTGAGCGCAAGCCAGTGACCCTGTCCACTCTATACTCTGTGTTGGCCGGAGCCAACAGCTCTATCCCTCACAGGCCCTCACAGTGCTCCATGAAAGGGTCACTTCTTTTGTTACAACTCTACCCTCTCCAGGGATCCTTTTAGGAAGCGTAGCTATTTAGTCAGGAACATCATAGTGAGAAATAATTTACCAGATGCTAGAAACTAGGGCTATGAGAACCTGAGAGTAGAGATAAGGAAATGCCAGAAAGAAAGGCAGGAGGACTCCAAAACAGAATTCTTTAACATCAGCTCTTCTGATGGAGTGGCCCTGGGTCCCAGAATGTTTTCAGAATCACAAAATTTGCAGAATCTGGGTATTAAAACACATACTTTATTTTCATTTCATGAGTTGGCCTGTTAGACTCAGAGCAGTATTTTTGGGTGAAAATCTCTTGATAAAGGAGGAAAGCCCCAGGAGGTGACTTCAGATCCTGCTGGGAACTCTTGCCTGAATCAGCATACTGGTGGCATGTGATAATAGCCTATACTTGTCTACCATTTTATACTCTTTGTTTCCCTAAGTGATTTTGTATATGCCAGCTCATTTTTATCCTACTCTAGAAGGTAGATAGAATACTGTATTAATTTCCTAAGGCTGCTGTGAAGTACCACACACTGGGTGGCTTAAACAACAGACATGTATTGTCTCACAGTTCTAGAGGCTGGAAGTCCAAGAGTAAGGTGTCAGCAGGCCTGATTCCTTCTTAGGGCTGTGAGGGAGAATCTGTTCCTGACCTCTCCTCTGGATTCTGGTGGTTCCTGTCATGCTTTGGTGTTCCTCAGCTTGTAGAAGCATCACTCCCATCTCTACCTTCTGCTTCACATGGCATTCTCCCTGTCTCTGTATCCAAATGTCCCCTTTATGTAAGGACAGAGTCGTATTAGATTAGCACCCACTCTAATTACCTCATTTTAACTTGACCAACAGCAAAGACCCTATTTCCAAACAAATTCACATCCATGGGTCCTGGGGGTTAGAACTCCAACATCTTTTTCTGGGAGGGGGCAAAATTCAACCCACAACAAGTACTTTTCCTCATTTTCCCGTTCTACATATAAGGAAACTGAAACAGAGAGTCTCACTCTGTTGCCCAAGCTGGAGTGCAATGACGCAATCTTGGCTTACCTCTGCCTCCTGGGTTCAAGCAATTCTGTGCCTCAGCCTCCAGAGTATCTGGGACTATAGGCGTGTGCCAACATGCCAGGCTAACTTTTTGTATTTTTAGTAGAGATGGGGTTTCACCATGTTGGCCAGGCTGGTCTCAAACTCCCGACCTCAAGTGATCTACCCACTGCAGCCTCCCAAAGTGCTGGGATTAGAGGTGTGAGCCACTGCACTCAGCCTCCAGTGATGGCATTTTGAATATTTAAACCCAAGCTCCTTAGAACTGAATAATTAATACAATGTGGGTTTTTACTTGCCACAGATTTTGAGACATTGTCAAACATAGTCGCTTTTCTTTCCCTTTGTTCTCTCACCCGTCCTCCCTGCCCCAGGCCATTCTTGTGCTTCCTGGGTCTTCCTCCCTTTCCCCATCCTCATGCTCTGGTTCTGAATCTGCAGGCCAGGATGCTGCCTTCGCCCATGAGTCTCCACTGCAGATTCAGATTTTGTTGGGATCTGTATTTTCCTCTCCCAGGCAGTACAGGTTGGAAGGTGTGAACCCAGGCACTGCCTTAGTGTGTTTGAGAGAACATTAGAAATGGTGCTGTTAGGCCAGGTGCGGTGGCTCACACCTGTAATCCCAGCACTTTGGGAGGCCGAGGCGGGTGGATCACCTGAGGTCAGGAGTTCGAGACCAGCCTGACCAACATGAAGAAACCCCATCTCTACTAAAAATACAAAATTAGCCAGGCATGGTGGCGCATACCTGTAATCACAGCTACTCGGGAGGCTGAAGCAGGAGAATCACTTGAACCTGGGAGGCGGAGGTTGTGATAAGCCAAGATTGCGCCATTGCACTCCAGCTTGGCAACAAGAGTGAAACTCTGTCTCAAAAAAAAGAAAAGAAAAAGAAATGGTGCTGTTTAGGCCCTAGATGACCCATAAACCTGTATGCTATGACCACATTGGCACTTAACAAACCTACCAGAACAAATATGTCTGAATTAGCCTTCTTTTTTTTTTTTTTTTTTTTTGAGATGGAGGCTCACTCTGTCATCCAGGTTGGAGTGCAGTGGCACAATCTCAGCCCACTGCTACCTCTGCCTCCTGCGTTCAAGCGATTCTCCTGCCTCGGCCTCCTGAGTAGCTGGGATTATAGGCACCCACCACCACACCTGGCTAATTTTGTTGTATTTTTAGTAGAGATGGGGTTTCACCGTGTTGGCCAGGCTACTCTTGAATTTCTGACTCAAGTGATCCACCTACCTCAGCCTCCCGAAGTGCTGGGATTACAGACTTGAGACATCATGCCCAGCCTGAATTAGCCTTCTCCTTCCCCTTTGTCAACAATGCTGCCATAACTTTGAACAGTATAGAAATTCCTCTTTTGTAGATGCTCCTAGAACTTTCTCTAGAATCTCTACAAAGTCTTCTGCCCTTAAGCAGAGGTTTAATTCTTTGGAAGGGCGAAATGTACTCCAAGCCACATCTGAGGAATGAAGCAGGTTGACCAAACTGGTGGAGCCCAGGTTTGATCAAACACTATTTCACAGGACGCATTTTCTCCCATGTCCTACAAACCAGCTCTGAGGGCAGTTCCAGAAGGGGAAGTTTCCAGTTCGTCCCTGGTCACTTATTGGAATCAGGGATCCTCTTCCAGGGCACTTTCTCTGACAAACAACACTCAACGCAGACATGGACATTTCAGGGCTTTAAGAACCGTCTTGCCACTCCATAGCCATATCTCATCTGTCAGATGCAGATGCCATCTGAGAGTAGAGCTGAGCTGGCAGCAGGTGACAAGCCACCAGCACTCAACAAAAACATCCCATCAAAATTACACAGGAAACTTACAAGTCAATTTGCAAGCTCTAAAATACCCGAACTATCCCAGTCCGGGAGCAGCACTGAGAAAAAACTAGAAGAGACAAAACTTCCTGACTTTGGCTCGGGTGGAAGGGGTGGGGTGCACTGGTTGGGCAGTCACGATGGCAGTGCCCTCATCATCATGGGTCCCCTCTCTCCCTGTCACAGAACGTGCTGGTGTCCGAGCAGTTCATGAAAACGTTGGACGGAGTGTATGCCGTTCACCCGCAGCTGGATGTGGTGTTCAAGGCAGTACAAGGCCTCTCTGCCAAGAAAACCATCTTTTTGTTGACAAACCCCATGAAACTGATCCAGGTGAGCTCCTGCCTTCCTCTCAGGGCCTCCAGGGAGCCCTAGGGAAAGCTGGCTAATGGCTCCACATCAGTTTCCAGACTTTCCCTCCCCCACAGTGTCTGTACAGCCCTCTCTGATAAGGAATATCTCAGTCCCTTGGACTGCAGATATGGAATGAATATTCTCTGTGGCTACTGGATCCCTCAGCAGTGCTTCCTGATCCCCAGAGGAAAGGAAGAGCTGAGATCTAGCTGAAGGGGATGGGTGGACAGGATGGATTCTCCCACCCGGGCTCCTCCACCTGCTAGCGTATGACCAAGGGCAAGTTACTAAAGCTCTCTGGGTCACAGTCTCTTCACCTGCAGAATGGACACAACAGTAGCCACCCAGTAGGATTGCTTGGAAAATCAAATTATGTAAAATGCATGAAGTGCTTAGAAGGTTGCCTGGTATAGAACAAGCACCTGTTTATTATAGACACAGTTTCTTTCCAACTGCTGGTAAGGAGGTCAAGTCATCCCTGTGGTCAGGATGGCTATCTGGCAGCTTCAGCCAAAGAGAGACGCTTCAGTCCTTTGTTTCTAATGGTAACTTGCCCCCGACTCATCTTTTCTTAGATTAGCTCTGGCAATCACAGGAGGCAGATGTAACAGTGGAAATACAAAATCAGAGAATATTAGCACCTAAAGGGATGTTATTGCTCCTCCAGTCCCATCGTCTCGCAGACCAGTGCCCAGACTCTGCTCTGGTGTTTCCACGGCAGGCCTCTTACCCTGCGGTGGGGGTGAGGAGCCTGCTGCTGGCCGCAGAACGGTTACTATCTGGGGAGCAGGCATGGGCATGGCACTCTGCCAATGCACGTTCTGCAGGGTGTGTCCCTGGGCTGCTTCCTGCCCCTGATGGGTCTGCTCTGTGCCTCAGTTTCCAGAACTAAATAAAAGAGCTCCCACATGAAAATTGCTATGTGAAAAATTCTAGAAGGCAAAGTAGTGTCAAGTATTTGTACAAGTAAGATGACTTCAGATGGAACCAAGGGCAAACCTGTTTTGCAAGGGGAGCAGGGTGGTCCAGTGAACAGGAATGGAGCTGTCTGATGCAAAGACATTGTCTGATGCAATGTCTTTAAAACACATCTTTGTGTGTTTTAAAGATGCACACAAAAAGAATCTTGGAGACCAAACAAGACATGCAGAGTCAAACATAGCCCTTCCCCTCAGGGGACTGACAATCTGGTTGGAAAGATGGGATGGATACAGTGATGACCCACAGATTATAGAAAGTTTCATATGGCCAGGCATGGTGGCTCCTGCCTGTCATCCCAGCACTTTGGGAGGCAGAAGCAGGTGGATCACTTGAGGTCAGGAGTTTGAGACCAGCCTGGCCAACATGGCGAAACCCAATCTCTACTAAAAATACAAAAATTAGCCAGGCGTGGTGGCAGGTGCCTATAATCCCAGCTACTTGGGAAGCTGAGGCACAAGAATCGCTTGAACCTGGGAGGTGGAGGCTGCAGTGAGCTGAGATTATGCCACTGCACTCCAGCCTGGGAGGCAGAGCGAGACTCTGTCTCAAAAAAAAAAAAAAAAAAAGGTGTCATATGATAAACAACAAAAAAGTGACAGAAGCAGAAAATGTAGTCGAAATCCAAATAAGAGATCAATGTAGGATTGGGCAACCAGAAAAGGATGATGTCCTGGAAGAGATGGGATCGGGTAAGGGCCCTGAAGAATGTCAAAGACTGAGGTGAGCCACAGAGGGTGGGAGGGTGTTCCGGCCAGAGGCTCCCGCCAGCAAAGGTGCCGAGGTGGAACCGCACGCAGCATGTTCAGGGGACACTAACACATGACTACAGGTTCACAGAGGAGCCCGAGAGGCAAAGTTGGCAAGGGAGGCTGGGCTGCAAGTGGCAGCCCTCAGATTTTAGGCTCCGAGTTTGGCTTTGATTCCATCGGGAACAGGGAGCCGGTGAGAGCTGTTGGGCAGTGGATGTGATGCAAATCCAGCAGGATTGAGGGGTTCTGGCAATGGGGAGTGAATTGAAGAGGGTTAAAAAAAAAAAAAAAAGTAGGAAACCATATGAGCACACTATTGTAGCATTCTAGATGTGGAATGACGGCTTGGCTGAGAATAACAATGGAATTGAAGGGCAGATGTAAGAGTTATCATTATGGAAACATCTCCAGGACTTGGCGAATGGTTGGGTATGTGGGGTTGTGTATTGCATGCATGTGAGTGTGTGTGTGTGTGTTGGGATAGGAAGGCCTGTGATGATAAGAGAAACCCAAAGGTAACCCAAGATTTCACGCCCAAGGGACTGAAGGAAAGATTGCCAGAGGCAGGGAAGTGCAGATGGGGGAAGTGCCTGCCACCTGGCCCTTCATGTCTCTCCACGTTCCAGCCCCACTGGAGTGCTTCCAGATCCTTTCTGCATCAGCCCTCCCTTCACTGCAGGCCTGTGTATGGGCAGGGCAGGTCCTTCCACCTGGAACACTTTTCTTCTTGCCCTCTGTGTCTCGCTCATTCCTACCCATTCTCAGGTCTCTACACAATGTCACTTCCTAGGGAAACGCTTCTTGGATTCCCTGGTCAAGGGCGAATGCCCTTTGTGTTCCTGAAGCCCTTGGCTTCACCCTTTCATTGCAATCCTGTGAACTCCTCCAGGGCAGGGCTGTGTGGGGTCTTAGTAGTAGAACCTACCAAAGTAGCTGGGCAAGGTTCTTAGTTGCTGGCCACAGAATTTACTCCAACTAGGTTAAGCACACAGGGGTTTATTACAGGAGAGAGACCACAGAAATGTCAGGAGGGCTGAACAAACAGACCCTTGTTAGATTCCAGAAATGGCTCTCAAAGCACCCCAACTGGGTTGCCAAGAGGGTTGCTCCTTCTGCTATAATCAAGAAGCTGCATGACTGCAGAATGCCCCGCCCAGTCAGGAAGCAACCACAGCCGCTGCCCACCACCTGCCTCTCTCAAATCAGACACAAGCCTCACACTTACATCTCAGGCAGGTGCTTGGCACAGGCCGTCCATTCTGACCCCCAGCTGCAAGGGAGCTTGGGGAATGTCGCTTTCAGCTTTCCAGCCTCTGCAGGGATGAGAAGCCTGCTGTGAAGAAACAGCAGTGGGTGCCGCAGGCTCACCCACGGCCTCTGCCACAGCGCTCAGCAGCAGTGCGCAGATTCAGGGGATGAGGGGCACTTCGGATGTGTTGACTGAAGTGCCGGTGGGGTGTCAGCAGCCGTGGAGGATGGAAAACTGGAAATGTAGCTTCGGGAGGCACTCCGGAAGGGTGGGAGGCCGTGCACTTAGGAAGGGGAAGTGTGGGGAACAAAGAGCAAGGGCCCCAGGGCTGAGCCCTGAGGAAATGCTTCGTGAGCAGGACGTTGCCAGAAATAGCTATCCATACAGCAGGACCCTGTCCGAATTTCTGAGAGTGGGGAGGGGGGGGTGGCCGGGGGGAAGCGGGGGTCACAGTGGGGAAGAGAAAAAAAATGCTTAAAAAGGACCTAAAAGAATATTGTAATATTGTAAGACTGAGTGCGGTAGCTCATACCTGTAATCCCAGCACTTTGGGAGGCCGGGGTGGGAGGATCACTTGAGGTCAGAAGTTCAAGAACAGCCTGACCAACATGGTGAAACCCTATCTCTACTAAACATATAAAAATAGGCTGTGCATGGTGGCGCCTGCCTATAATCCCAGCTACTCGGGAGGCTGAGGCAGGAGAATTGCTTGAACCTGGGAGGCTGGGAGGTGGAGGTTGCAGTGAGCCAAGATTGTGCCACTGCACTCCAGCCTGTGCAACAGAGTGAGACTCTGTTTCAAAAAATAAAAAAAAAGGAAAAGAATATTATAATGTCATTGAAAAGGTATTCACATGTGAACAGCGGGTTCTGTAAAACAGTAGGTTTAGTAGAAAGAAGAGAGGATGGATAGATAGATCGATAGATAGATAAAGATAGATGATAATGATATACAGATAGATAGAAGTTAGACAGATTGATATCAGATAGATAGCTAAAAAGATAAAAGGGTCCACACCAGGATATTACCTGCGTGTGGTGGTATTAGATTTACGGGTGATATTTAAAATTTTCTTCTGCTAATCTAAAATTGCCTTGCAACGTGAGTAATAATACACCTGACCCTTGAACAACACGGGTTTGAACTGTGCCATTTCATCCACTTTTACATATTTGGATTTTTTTTCAATAAATACAGTCAGTCCTTCGTACCCGTGGGTTCTGCATATGCAAATATGGATCCAAAATACAGCATTTGAGGAACGAGAAACCCACGGAGATGGAGGACTGCCTTTTCATATTGGTGGATTTTGGTATCTGAGGTGGTCCTGGAACCTATCCCTTGCAGATATCAAGGGATGATTATATTTTTTAAATGAAAAAAATGAAATATCCTTTTAAAAATACTCTAACAAAGTATGTTTCCATGTGAGCATTGACGTGAAACTGTGAGAATCCTAGGAATTCATAGAGCCAAACCATCACATTATACAGTTGTGGTTTAACCTTTTGATCTCTGAACATCCGCCCACCATCCACAGCACACCGTTCATACCAGTGTTAACAGATCACATATGTAGATAATGATCATGCCCCATCCCATTGGCACTGCAACACCTGAACAGCCTTGACTTCAGTCCTTCCACCTTTGGAATGGAGGGAGCGTCTATGCTGTGCCAAGGGGTTCCTGGAAGCCTGGCGAGCACACAGGAACCATCCCGGCATGTACCCTTGCCAGGCCTGGTGGGTCTGCACTCGGCTCTTGGTCTTAGGGAACGGCCAACGCCTGGGAGACTCGGCTCCTCACCTTGGCCTTCTGCCCATCTCAGCCGTGCTAGGCCTGGAAGCATGGGCCACCCTTCTGTGGGAGGTGAGGGGACCTGCGATCACTGTTAGAAGGCCAAATGTTTGCTCCTGGTTTCTTCTGCTTCTCTCAGAACTATGCAGACCAGCACAAAATCACGGTCATGGACTTCTTCAAGAGCTTGAACCCTACCAGGACAATGAAGATGTCTGTGGACGAGTTCCAGAAAGTGATGACAGAGGTGTGCTGGGTCCTAGTGGCCACAGGCTGAGTGTGTGAGTGTGAGTGAGTTTGTGTGTGTATGTTTGTGTGTCAGAGAGAGGGGAGAGGAGGAGAAGGAGCAAAAGAGCTTGTAAGCACTTCCTAGAGCTTCCTGGGATGGGCTATGGGACACTCCCCTCATTTATCTAGACCCAGAGGGGAACCTAAGACCTCCCTCAACCCCTGCTGAAGTCATTCCTGTGCTATGGCTTGATGCCACCGGGGACCCGAGATGCCACCCAGAGACACATCTTCTATCTTGAGGTTTTTCTCCCCATTGCATTTCACTACTGGGCAGATTACAAAGGGAGTGAGAGAGGAGACCACATCCCAAAGTCCCAACATTTCCACCTTGGGCCATATCATTTTTCTGAAATCCCACATTCCTCTCACTCCCCATGTAACAAAGGTGCTGAAAGCCCCCTGTAATGCAGACTTGAAGGGTTCTATCATCACTGCATCCCAGGAGAGACGTGGGCCCTGCAGGAATAGGACTCCAGAGGAGAAGTTCCCGGGGGCCAGGCAGGTGTCCGGTGCCCAGTGCCCAGGCCGGGGGCGAAGAGGCTGGTCGGGACTCCACGGCAGGAAGTAAGAATGAACTTCACAGGATGCAAAAGAGAGTCCTGTCCCCTTCCCCAGCCACTCGTTCCACCTGACTCTGATCTCCTCCTCCCTTATTGCCCCCAGAAAGGGGAGGCCCTTTAGAGTCTGGACAATGACCCATGGGCAGGGAGCTTTCTCCAGCCCCTCCATGCTGTGGAATCAGTTTCCCCTGAGCTCTCAATCAGTTGCCCTCCACGGTCCCAGGAGGAGTGAGGCATTGTGTGTGTGGGGTGTGTGTGTGTGGAAGGTGTGTGTGTGTAGTAGTTGGGGGGGGACATGCGTAGGGAGGGGTGAACAGAGTTCTATTAACTGTACATGTTCCATCCACCTCCTCAGCAAACCAAGGTCCCTCTGAACCAGTACCAGATCAAGGAGGTGATAAAAAAGCTCGATGAGAAGACAGGCATGGTGAACTTCAGGTCAGCCCAGGCCCTGCAACGCTCCCCGTTCTCTGCAAGGGGCCCTGGCTGGGCTGATGTGAGCTCCCCCGGCTGCCCTGTCTACACTTTGTTACTTGGGGCTTCACCCACCCGCCTGTTCCCTGCATGCCAAGGCCAGGCCCTGCTGTCTACCCTCCTTCTCATCCCCAATTCACTTGTTTAGCGAAACTTGAGCCCAATCAGTCGCTGCTGGCTGCTGGGCCAGATGCTGGGGACGCCAGCGGGAGGAGCCGGAGCCCACACTCACAGCCCAGGAAGAGGACAGGCAAGGGAGCAGATTTTTAGGCCCTGGTGAGGTGAGAGGAGCCATAGGGGTGTGTACCAGGCACCCCTGCAGCCCAAAGAGGAAGCGTTGCTCAGGCAGGAGGCGGCAATGTTTCGGGCGAGACAGAGCCCTAGACAGAGGGCGGAGGCACACAAGCACCAAATGCTAACGGTGTGTTAGGGACTACAGGTCCCTGCACTCTGCTGTGGCTTGGCGAGTGAGGGATGTTGTATCTTAGGCCGAAGTCCTTGAAGAGAGAGGACAGGTCCATGATGCTGGTGATGCCAGTAAGCAACCCACAATGAGTCCCTACCACATGCCTGTCCCCTCCACTTGCCCAACAGGCACGCTGTCAGCCTCACGGTGCCCCATGGCAATGCTGCCATCACCCCACTTAGCAAGTGATGAAACAGAGCTCTAGAGACATGCAGCAAAGAAGCCAAGTTCACCGGGTGCAGTAGCCCATGCCTATAATCCCAGCACTTTGGGAGGCTGAAACAGGAGGATTGCTTGAGCCCAGGAGGTCGAGACAAGCCTGGACAAGATAGCGAGACCCCCATCTCCACAAAAAACCAAAAAAAAACACATTAGCTGAACATGGCAGTGCATGCCTGAAGTCCCAGCTACTTGGGAGGCTGAAGTAGGGGGATTACTTGAGCTCAGGAGGCAGAGGGTACAGCGAGCTGAGACTGCATCACTGCACTCCAGTCTGGACAACAAAGTGAGCCCGTGTCTCAAAAAAAAAAAAAAAGAAAAGAAAAGAAAAGAAAAGCAGCCAAGTTCTCGCAGCTGGGAAGGATAACTCTGGCCGAGACTCCAGGCCTGAGGGGTCCACACCTGTTCTGTCTCTCACTGTGCTAGACCTCCCAGCCCAGGCGCAGGACACAGCTACCCCTGGCAAGCCTGGGTCTGCAGCTGGGCTCCCATCTGTCTCGGTGGCCCTGTGGCTGGACTGTGTTCTTAAGAGCTTCTGTGGGACAAGGCCTCCCATCCAGCCCTGCCCCACGAGCCTTCTCCCAGTACCTCTTTCCTTTGGTCCACTCAGAGTCGTCGTGCAGAGAAACCACAACGCAGGCAAGAAAGGCAGCCTGACCCAGCTGCAAACCCTGCTCTGCAGAACAAAGCTGCAGCTGTGCGCAGATCGCCTCTCCCTTTAAAACGGGGAGATAACCGCGGCACCTGGGAGGGGGCTGTAAGGAGTGAGTGGGGGAAATGCACACAGCGACCAGCACAGGGGACGTCACTCGGTAGTGACACTGGCATCCAGCAAGAGGGCCCCAAAGGTGGCTCAGGCCTGCCCTGCTACCACCGGGCCTCCCACTCCTGTGCTGCTCAGCAGCCTGCCCTGTGCCTCCTCACCTGCCCCCTACCTAAAGTGGCACCTCTTGTTCCTGGGGAAGCTGATGGCAAATGCCCATTTCAGAGGCTCCAGACCAGGTTCCACGTCCAGCAAAGTCTCCAGGTTTGCAGGCAAGGTCACATGGCCTTCGAGAGCCAGAACTGGGGTCTGGGTCCCTGAGTCTCTGCACCCGAGCAGGGAGCCCTTGGGGTCGCTTCAAATTGCCCTTCAAATCACACACTGCCACTTTATCAGCTGTGATTGAGGAGCAGAGTTTTAATTTTCATTGTTGCATGTTCCTTTTCATTGTTGTTTTACGTTACAAATAATGTCTCATTGTAAAAATTCTAAACCTGGCTGGGCGCGGTGGCTCACGCCTATAATCCCAGCACTTTGGGAGGCCGAGGCAGGCTGATCACCTGAGGTCAGGAGTTCGAGACCAGCCTGGCCAAGATGGTAAAACCCCACCTCTACTAAACATACAAAAATTAGCCAGGTGTGGTGGCGAACACCTGTAATCCCAGCTACTCGGGAGGCTGAGGCAGGAGAATTGCTTGAACCTGGAAGGCGGAGTTTGCAGTAAGCTGTTGCGCCATTGCACTACAGCCTGGGTGACAGTGAGACCCCATCTCAAAAAAAAAAAAAAAAAAAATTAAACCCACAGAAGTATAGCAAGGGAAAAAAATGAAGGTCCATTTTTATCTCCCTCCATAGTTCACTCTGCCTCCCCAAAGGGCTCTTGCAAATGGTCTTAAGTGCACATTTGCATGCCTTTCCCATGTACTTATCACAAGTGTGTGTAGTGGGGGAGATATAATGGTTAACAGCATGACCTCTAAGGACAGAGATGGGTTTACAAATGGTCTCCTTTGGATTTAAGCCTATCTTAACATTCTTGCCCATCAGCCATGAGGCTGTATGGGCGCTCAGCATCTTTCCCTTACCTTTTGTACCAGTTTCCTGAACACAATGAAGCCATAGCAATAAGTCTGGTCTGGAAAGAAGTCTCGGCGAGAGGAGTCCTGGCAAGTTGGATGGTGGCAGGAAGGAGAGCAAGAGGTGGCAGAAATCTCGATGGACAGATGCTGTGGCCAGGGCTGGGCACAAGCAAATAAAGTCTGGCTTGGTTCTGGGCATCCTGGGCTGCTGGTGGTGTGCCCGTCACCATGGGGGCCACCTTCTGCTTTTAGTGACCACCAGGGGACATGTCAATGCAGCCTCGTTAGGAGCTGCACAGACAAATTGGGAAGTGATGGGGTTGCTAGGCAGCAAGGAAAGAGCCTCAGAGAGCAAGTCAGAGCATGAAGGTAATCGTCATAGTGATTAGAAATGGAGTCCAGGGGAGACCTCCATGGTGGGAGGCAGTGGCAGGGCGAACAGATGCTGAGGGAATGAGGGCAGGGGTCTTTAAGAAGCAAACAAATGCTGTGGGGTCACAAGGAGGGAGCCAGGACAGGAGATCAAGAGAGCGGGCATCCCATCCTGGCCACATGACCTTGGAGTCCCAGTGGCTCCCCTTGAAAATGGAGCAGCTCAAATAAAGCCTTCCCAGTCCGTTCTAGGAGTCTATCATTCTGCATTTCGCCTTTAAATTCCTTGAGAAACTGGGGAGACAGGAAGAGCTTAGTGAAGGAAGAAAAGGAATAGCCAAGAACAGCATTCACTGGTTAAGTGGGTGGAACAGGCACCTTTGGGAGTTTTGATTGATCTTACCAGACACCATTGTAGATTAGCAAGGCAGGAACTTTCTTGTGCCCCTCTGCAGCCCCATGTAGTGCTTGGCACATAGTAGATACTCAATAAACACCTGTGAAATGAACAAGCACATTCACCTGGTGATTGTTTGGGGTAAGTGGTGAAATGTAGGGAAAGTGTAGGGGGCGAGGGAGGCTGATATTTGGTAACCCACGCTTTGGCGCACCAGCGAAGGGTCTAGGAACCAAGTCACTATCCCTTGTGTTTCACTTGGCTTCACCCAGGGTAGAAGTGAACACCGAGACCCGTCCGCACATGCAGCAGAATCATTATTGGAAATAATTTATGTCCCACTCATGTGCTGTATTTCTGCCCTTTCTCTTCCTTATTCAAGTCTTAGCCATTGTGAGGTTTAGGGCCAGGATAGAAGTTTCTAGCAAGACTCATCCCTCCCTAGTGCACATTTTTGCCAGCCTAAGCTCACTGGGGAGAACAGAACTGAGGAGAAGAGTGAGAAGGGTGGGCCACAGCAGCCCTCAGAGGAGCTTCCCCAGCACTGCTGGGAGGAGAGGGAGGCCTTCAAGTCTGGCAGGACCTCAGAACAAGTAGCTGAGCTATGCCCTGGAGGCTGACTCTTGGTCTGAGCTCCCAACCTGGCAGAGCTCCCCTGCCCCAAACATAGCATGAGGGCAGCAGCGCAGCAGCTCTGCAGGGACCCCCTGAGCTGGGACCAAAGACCCCCAGCAATAATCAGTGTGGACTGGTGACCAATAGGTAGAGGGCGTCTCCTGACAAGTGAGCACCATGGAGGCTCAGTGGCACCACCTTGAGCATGTTCCTGAAATGGAATTTCCATCAACTGGGTGGATTAGGAGCTCAGAGTCCAAATGAGGACAATGAAGGGAATATAAAGAAATGTAAAGGCCGTGTTCAGTGACTCACACCTGTAATCCAGCACTTTGGGAGGCCAAGGCAGGCTGATCACCTGAGGTCAGGAGTTCGAGACCAGCCTGGCCAACATGGTGAAACCCCATCGCTACTAAAAGTACAAAAATTAGCTGGGCATGGTGGCGGGTGCCTGTAATCTCCTCTACTCAAGAGGGTGAGGCAGGAGAATCGCTTGAACCTGGGAGGCAGAGGTTGCAGTGAGCTGAGACCATGCCATTGCACTCCAGCCTGGGTGACAAGAGCAAAACTCCTATCTCAAAAAAAAAAAAGAAAGAAAGAAAAGAAAAGAAAAAGAAACGCAATAAGGAGTCTATGGACTGAAACATCTACCATAACATTGGGTGCTCTGTAGACATCTGCTCTATCTCCCCAAATAAAGTGAAGTCCTTGACGTCTGGGATCAAGTCTTTTTTTTTTTTTTTTTTTTTTTTAAGAAAGAGTCTCGCTTTGTCACCCAGGCTGGAGTGGAGTGGCATGAACACAGCTAACTGCAACCTCTGCCTTCCAGATTCAAGCGATTCTCATGCCTCATCCTCCCGAGTAACTGGGATTACAGGTTTGCACGACCGTGAGCAGCTATTTTTTTTTTTTTTTTTTTTTTGTATTTTTAGTGGAGACAGGGTTTCCCTGTGTTGGCCAGGTTGGTCTTGAACTCCTGGCCTCAAGTGATCTGCCTGCCTTGGCATCCCAAAGTGCTGGGATTACAGGCATGAGCTACCATGCCCAGATGGGATCATGTCTTTTAAATCTGTTACAATCGGTAAAATTCTCCAGGTTCCCTGCCTGTAACTGAGTGTCCAATCAATGTTGGTGCCCAGGTGGAACCCTGAGGGTTATGTGTGGGCAAGAAGGAGAGGCTATGAAGTATCAGAATGTGTAATGGACAAGTTATACATTTGTAATGGTTATGGATCAGTGAAAACAAATTTTTTCAAGATAATTTTGTTCTCATCTTTTGCATAAAATGGAAAAGATGTTCCTATCAAATCTTATTTTTGTTTGGGTGGCTTTGGCGAAATGATGGGGATTACAGGGAAGTTAAAATCTCCCCCACCCCCCGACCTCAACCCTCCAGGCCACCCGTTGACGCTCAAGTAAGCAAGGGATGGGTGGCCAAGCCCAGCTGCCTCAGCGGCCCTGGGAGCCTCCAAAGGTGGAGTAATTCCCACTTGTGGCCGCTAGGTGTCAGGTCAGCTCCAAAAGTCATCGGGAGACTTGGGCTTTGCCTTCTCCTAAATTGGGGTCTTTGTAAGTTTCTCTGATCTCCCTAAGTTCTGCCCCTGAGGAACGCCGACTTAGAATCTGAGCCTCGAAAGGCCCAGCAGCCCAACCCCTGGGCAGACCTCTCCAAGGCTCCGTGTCCTTATTGTGACCACCTTGCACCCTTGTTGTGAGGAAGAAAATCAGGCACCTGGGAAGAGCTCCATGAATATTCATTTCCCTCCTCCAGTCAGCCCGCCCTGGAGCTGGGCAGACCGCAGAGAGGAGTCCTGCTCCTTGAGGGCAGGACTGCACAAGAGCTTAGTCAGCTTGGCAGGTCAGGAGGCTGGCAGGCAGGGGGACCCCAGCAGCGGCTGCAACGCTCCCATGGAGGACGAGGCGGAGGAAGAGGGGACTTGCAGGAGCAGGAGGTGCATCAAGGTCAAAGATGGCTCGAGGCGCTGGCCCAACCTCCGAAGGCGGTCAGGCTGCAGTCCAGGGAGATGGCACCCTGGGCTTGCTGTTCTTCCATACCCAAGTCAATGCGGCTTCACGCACTCACTCCTCGCCTCCTCACAGTGATTCTGCATGGTGAGCACTGTAGAATCCCCGTTTTGCAGCCAGGGAAACGGGGGTGTGGAGAAGTTAAGCATCTTGCCCAAGGTCCTCCAGCCAGTAAGTAGCAACACCAAGATCCAGGCCCTGGCAATACAGCTGTGGCTCCCTGAGGGCTTAGCCACGATGCCTCCCCGCCCCTCTGCCAGGCTGGACTGGCTAATGGAAGGGGGCAAAGGCTGATATGGTGCTCTGTTGTGGCCAAATTCTCAAGGGCAGGTTGATGCAGTCTCCTCACCAGCCCCATGGCTCAGAAATTGTGCTGGGGGCGGCCGGGTGGGAGAAGAGGAGTGTGGATATCTGTGTGCTAGAACTGGGAAGGGGTTAAAAATGAAGCCTATGAATTCTGGCATTTGACACTCCTGGGTTTGAATTCTGTTTGGCTTCACCAATTACCATCTCTGTGACTCTAAGCAATTCATTTATCCTCTCTGAATCTGAGTTTGCTCATCTGTAAACAGAAATGATAGTGGTACCACCTCCTTTATAGGGTGTGTCCTCTGTGGCTGGAGCAGATGGAGAGAAGGAGAGCGTGTGGGAGTGAGTTCAAAGGGAATGTGGCCAGGTCAGGTGGGGCCTTGAAGGCCATCGGAGAATGTGGCTGTGAAGATTTAATGAAATCACACACATGAAACACGAAGCCCAAGGCCTGGCATACAATAAGTGCCTAATATAAGGATGTGCCTAATATATGTTATAGTGGTGTTCCACTCCTAAGAGGGAGAGGTATGGGGAGTTGTAGGAACAGCAGAGCACAAGAGGGGCCAACCTGAGCAGCTATCTTTGAAACACCCAACTAATGGGTGTTGGAAATACCATGGGGGGTGTTCCAATCTCAGGCCATAAAAACAGAAGAATTTGTCCAGGGTCTTGGAGGGTGGGGTGGGAAGACCAGGGCCAGCAGCACTGGGGGGTGTGGTGTGGGCAGCACAGGATCATAGGCCTGAAAGAACAGGAGACACAGAGACATCCGGCTTTTTTTTTTGTTTTTTTTTTTTGTCTGCCCTCCCAGCTGGAACATAGGCTCATGCCTACCCAGATAGCCACTCCAAACACAGGAGCAGGCACCGAAGAACCAAGGGCCACAGAGAATTCCCTGTGGTAGCTGCAGCGCTGAAGCTCAGTGGAGTTCCCAGGGCAGTGGTGGTAATAGTGCAGGGTGTCACTCATGGTCCCGGGCCTGCAGGTTCACGATACAAACTGCACCCTCTGGTGTCTGACTGTAGTGGCAGCTGTGGTGTCCTCGGTACCAGGCCTGCCTTGCCAAGTGGGGGCTTGGGATTTGTTTTGTTTTGTTTTAAACAAAATAGCACAATGATTGGCAAGGCCAGCCTGTGCCCTAAACACGAGCTCCTGCCCAATGGCCTTGAACTGTTCTTCAGGAAGCAGGCGTCCCGGAGGGGAGGGAACCCAAGGGCAGCTGGGGCGAGGCTGCCCCAGGCCGGGGGGCTGCTTTTATGGAAGGTCATCCAGGGAACCCTCAGAGGGCTTTGGCTTGTTTTGCCACCACCCTAGGGAGTCTGTGAATGAAACAGAGTGGCTGGCTAAATGCTGTGGGGTCCAGGCTGCCTGAGACATGACTCTTGTGCTTGTGTGGATGTGTTATTTGATGATAAAGAATATAATTGGTCTTCTTCCCAGTTCTTGGCACAGAACTTCAAAAACCCTTGGAATTTCCTGAGAGATGGAAATCTTTGTTATGCTAAAGAGGTGGCTCAGGGTGGACCCCTAGATCACTTTAGGCAGGGGCTGGTCACCAGAAAGACCACAGGATTAGAGGTTGGGACTTTTGACCAACAGACTTCCAGGAAGGAGAGAGGGGGCTGGAGACTGAGTTTAGTCATGTGGTCAGTGTTCACTCAATCAAGCCTAGGTAGTGAAACCCCAATAAACACTCTGCACACTGAGGCTCTGTGGAACTCCCTGGTTGATGAACACATTGAGATGCCGGAGGCTGGCGATCCCTGATTCCTTGGGAAGCAAACGTGGAAGCACTGTGCTCCCTCTCAGACCTTGCCCTCTGTCATACTTCCTGTGCCTATTCCTAAGCTGTACCTTTATAATAAAGCTGTGATTTTGTAAGCACAGTATCATGGTTTCAGTGAGCTTTGAGTCATTCCAGCAAATTATCAAAACTGGGGAAGCAGTGGGGATGCTCAAATTTGTACCTGGCTGGTCAGAAGTGCAGGTGGTCTAGGTACCCAACTTGCAGCTGGTACTGAAACAGAGGCAGTTTTGTGGAGGACTGAGCCTAAAACTAAAGTCTGCTGCCAACCCTAGGGGGATTCGTGTCAGAACTGACTTGCAGTTACTCCTGTTGGTGTTCCTCCAGGCGGGATGGAAATGGAGCACATGTACACAGCAGCATACTCGCGTTTGAATTTCAGAGATGGGGTGTGTGCGCTCCAATGTTGCCCATGCCCCAAAAGAGGGGCTTGTCAATGAGCTAAGTCCAAACCCCTCCTGCTTTCTGATCTGCATCTAATAACCCTGGTTCAGTGCAGCCACTCCCGGCTGTACCTCTGCTTTCCCAGCAGAGGGTGCTCCAGCCTCACAAGTACCCCATCTCTGTAGCCTTTCCTAAGGCTCCCTAAGGCTCAGTGGAGATGCACAGAAGAAAATAGGACCCCACACTGACTCAGGGAAATCAAATTCTCGTTAGGTGCCCTCAGAAAAGCAGCAATGCAGCCGGCTTCGGTGACACAGATTGCACCTGGGGGAGCCTGGGCCATAACCTTCAACCTCCCTGCGACATCCAGGTTCTGTGGGAGCTGAGCTTATAAAACTTACGGGCCCTCTTTAAAAAAAAAAATATGGCTAGGTGCAGTGGCTCACGCCTGTAATCCCAGCACTTTGGGAGGCAGAGGCGGGTGGATCACCTGAGGTCAGGAGTTTGAGACCAGCCTGGCCAACATGGTGAAACCCTGTCTCTACTAAAAATACAAAAATTAGCCAGGCATAGTGGCAGGCGCCTGTAATCCCAGCTATTCGGGGTTGGGGAGCCGAGGCAAGAGAATCGCTTGAACCCGGGAGGTGGAGGTTGCAGTGAGCTGAGATCTCACTCCAGCCTGGGGGACAAGAGTGAGACTTTGTCTCAAAAAAAAAAAAAAAAAAAAAAAAAAAAAAAAAAAACACACACACACAAACTCACAAATACAATGTTAGGGATAAAAAGTGGATGTTTAGAAT